TCCACTTGTTTAAAATTCTTTATAGTTTACAGACACTGGCCTGCGGCACTGTAAGAAGAAATGCCAAGGATTTTCCCAGACCTCTCATAGAGGCCAAATTAAAAAAAGGGGAATGCAAAGCTCTGCGCAAGGCTGAACTGCTTGCGCTAAAATTTAAGGACAGGAAGGATGTTCACATGATAACAACCATCCATAACGAGGGCATGTCAGACGTCACTGTCCGAGGCAGGGTACAGACAAAACCGGTGTGCATCAGGGCTTATAACAGGCACATGGGGGTGTTGATTTGGCTGATCAGCTGATGCAGCCTTATCTTATCTTAAGAAAGACAAAAGCCTGGTATAAAAAGGTGGCTATCTACCTGTTGCAAGTAGCAACACATAATTCATTTTTACTTTTTTTAAAAAATTAATCCAGGAAGAACCACCTATCTCCAATTTCAGCTCAAGCTGATTTCCACAATAATTTATGGAGATGGTCAAGTTCCAACGACAGTGCAAGAGTCGTCTAGACATTTTATTTTTAAGATACCGCCAACACCAAAAAAAAGAAACCCCCAGAAACGTTGCCGGGTCTGTTATAAAAAAGGGAAAAGGACAGACACCCCTTTTCACTGTCCCGATTGCCATACAAAACCTGGACTGTGCATTGGAGAATGTTTTAAGGTCTACCACACAGAAAATACATTTTTATAATACTTGTTCCTGATTTATTTTTTTTGTTTATTTTGAAAGCAGCAAATTTCTGTTAGTCAGTATCCTTCCCCCAAATCTCCAGTTAGATTCTTTTTGCAGGAGTTAGTTTACAGATTGCTGCTAACAGAAGTTTTAGTCTCATTTAGTCTGTTTTTTAACTCTGTGTTAGCCAGACTCTGACGCCACTGACACTGCGTCCGATTTTGACCCAGGTCAGTTTTCTGACATGTCATCTGTGTGTGAGCTGGCTGCAAAAAGAAGCTGTGCTTTCTCTGCTACGCCGAATGTGGAGGAGGAACAGGTTTCTCCACAGTTAGCTGAGCCCCAAATCACCCCTTTTAGTGCCAACACAGGCATTAATGTCAATGTGGATGACTTCTCCTCTATGCAATATATGGAGCTATTTTTAGGGGATACCATGTGGGAGGAGATTGCTCCCCAGACTAATTTATATGCTACCCAATTTATTGATACCAATCCAGATAGCTATGCAGTCAGGGAGGAGTGTGCTTGGCATCCCACAGATGTCGCTGAACTTAAAAAATTCTGGGCTCTTACAATTCTCATGGGGATTATAAAGAAGCCATCAATTTGCTCTTACTGGAGCACCAACCCAATCTGTTCTAGTCGAGTGTACTCTCAAACCATGTCTAGAACAAGATTTGAGCTGCTGCTGAGATACTTACATTTCAATGACAATACCCTCTGACACCCCAGAGATCACACCCAATATGATAGGCTTCATAAAATACACCCACTGGTAGACCATCTTCAGCACAAATTTACTGAAGTTTATACTCCTCAAAAAAAATGTATCTATTGATGAATCGTTAATGAAATATAAAGGGAGATTAGGATTCAAACAATACATCCTCTCAAAGCGCTTTAGGTATGGCGTAAAATTCTACAAACTGTGCGAGAGCGAAAGTGGCTATACATTTGCCTTTCGTATATATGAGGGGAAAGATGGTCAACTGGACCCTCCTGGCTATACTGACTCTCTGGGGACAAGCGGGAAACTTGTTTTTGACTTACTGATCCCCTTGTTCAATAAGGGTTACCACCTTTATGTGGACAATTTTTATAGCATTGTCTGTTTGTTTCAAACTCTTTAGGGTTTCTAGATACTGGCCTGTGGCAGTGTGAGAAGATATGCCAAGGATTTCCCCAGACCTTTAATAGAGGCCAAAAAAAAAAAAAAAAGTGAATGTAAAGGTCTGCACAAAGCTAAAGTGCTTGCAATAAAATTTAAGGACAGGAAGGATGTTCACATGCTAACAACCATCCATAACGAGGGCATGTCAGACGTCACTGTCCGAGGCAGGGTACAGACAAAACCGGTGTGCATCAGGGCTTATAACAGGCACATGGGGGGTGTTGATTTGGCTGATCAGCTGATGCAGCCATATCTTATCTTAAGAAAGACAAAAGCCTGGCATAAAAAGGTGGCTATCTACCTGATGCAAGTAGCAACACATAATTAATTTTTACTCTTTAAAAAAAATGAATTCAGAAAGAACCACCTTTCTCCAATTTTAGTTCAAGCTGATTTCCACAATAATTTATGGAGATGGTCAAGTTCCAACAACGGTGCCAAAGGAGTCCAGACATTTTATTTTTAAGATACCGCCAACTGCAAAAAAAAAACAAATCCCCTGAAATGTTGCTGGGTCTGTTATAAAAAAGGAAAAGGACACTGTTTTTTTTTCTTTTGAAAACAGCAAATTTTAGTTAGTCAGTTTCCTTCCCCCCAAATCTCCAATTAGATTCTTTTTGCAGGAGTTAGTTTAGAGAATGCTGCTAAAGGCAGTGGCGTACTAAGGGAGGACGGGGGGGGCGGTCCGCCCCGGGTGCCAGCCGGGTGGGGGGTGCCATGACCAGCCCCCCCCCCCCATGCTGCAACCGCCCGAGCGCTCTGTAGAGCCCCAGGCGGCTGCAGCTTTAATTGGCGGCATCCATGAGGATGAGGGGCTGACAGAGGGAGTGTTTCCTGGTCCTCACCCCTCACCGCAGCATGGTCCCCTGGCAGAGAGCAGTTAGCCTCTCAGGGCGTCGGACTAACAGGAAGGGAGTGCACTCCTGCTGGGGTCCGCCTCACAGGTACCGAAAAGCCCCTGTACCCGAGACCATACACACGGCCCGGCCACCTACAGGGGAGAGGCAGTAGGGGAGAAAGGAGGGGAGAAAGAGCAGCCAAGCAAGTGAGAAAGAGAAATAAGGGGTGAGAGAGAACAAGGGGTGAGAAAGAGAAATAAGGGGAAGTGGAGAAAGAGAAATAGGGGTGAGAAAGAGAAATAAGGGGGGTGAGAAAGAGAAATAGGGGTGGAGAAAGAGAAATACAAGTGAGAAAGAGAAATAAGGGGGTGAGAAAGAGAAATAAGGGGGAGAAAAGAGAAATAAGGGGTGAGAAAGAGAGACAAGGGGGGTGAGAAAGAGAGATAAGGGGGGGTGTGAGAGAGAGATAAGGGGGGGTGTGAGAGAGAAATAAGGGGGGGTGAGAGAGAGAAAAGGGGGGGTGGGTGAGAAAGAAAAAGAAGGTGGGTGAGAGAGAAAGGAGGGGGGGGGAGAGAAAATAGGAGCGGGGGTAAGAGAGAAATTAGGAGGGGGGTGAGAAAGAGAAATTGGGAGGAGGAGAAGGAAATTGGAGCGGGAGGAGAGATTGACATTCATCACATACACACAATGCACCCCTTGCACACAGAAAACACACAGACACACATACACAAGCAATGCAACCGTTACACACAATGCATCCCTTACACACACAGAAACACACAATGCATTCATTACACACACTCAATGCACCCCTTACACACATTCAATGCATCCCATACATACACAGAAACACACCTTGCAGTCCTTACACATACAAACACAATTTCACACAATGCATTCCTTACACACATATCAGGACATCCCCTACACACTCCACCCCCTGTGAACAAACTCATTGGTGGAACATGAAGGTGGACCCTGGGACCCAGACCTTGAGCTGTGTAAAGGACCCCAAAAAATGGAGCTGCTTCCCGTTCTCCCAGAACATTGATTTTTGTGACCACAGTTACAAACCGCCTCCAGAGAGCCTGTTCTGCACCAGACCAGTGGAGCCAGACTGCAGCTAGAGCCCATCATCATCCTCATCTGGTTGTAAGTAGGCAATCTAGTATATTATTCGTGGCACTAAGCTCTAATTTACCTCACATTAAAGAAACACTATAGTCCCCAGAACCACTTCAGCTTAATGTAGTGGTTCTGGTGTCTATAGCCTGTCCCTGCAGGCCTTTTAATGTAAACACGGCGGCACTGCAGCACTGGCGTTAGTTAACATGGCAAATCATATGGTGGGGCATTGTGATGTCACATGGGGGGCGGCAAACTTTACTTTTGCCTAGGGCGGCAAAAATCCTTGTACCGGCCCTGGCTGGAGGGGGCTGTGTGAGCTTTGGCCGCACAGTGTCCCATGGTAGTTAGGGTGCCGTGCGGCCAGTACAGCTCACTCAAGCAAACAGCTGATAAACTGGCCGCACAGAGGAAATGTGTATGTGTGACTGTCTGCCTGTGACTGTGTGTGACTGTCTGCCTGTAACTGAGTGTGTGACTGTCTGTCTGTAACTGAGTGTGTGACTGTGTCTGTAACTGAGTGTGTGACTGTGTCTGTAACTGAGTGTGTGACTGTCTGCCTGTAAATGTGTGTGTGTGGCTGCAGGGATTTTGTAGAAGGGGGTGGGGGTTTTGTATTGGGACAGGAGTCTTTATAAGGGGGGATAAGCAGGGAATTTGTGGAAGGGGGTTGCGGAGGTTTTGTAGACGGGGCAGTACAGGATTTGTAGAAGGGGCAGGACAGAGGTTTTGTAGGAGGGGCTGACAGCGGTTTTGCAAAGTTTACAAATTGTAAAAATAAAAGAAATAAAACCTTTAACATTTTTTACATAGTTACATAGTTACATAGCTGAAAAGAGACTTGCGTCCATCAAGTTCAGCCTTCCTCACATTTGTTTTTTGCTGTTGATCCAAAAGAAGGCAAAACCCAGTTTGAAGCACAATTTTGCAACAAGCTAGGAAAAAAATTCCTTCTTGACCCCAGAATGGCAGTCAGATTTATCCTTGGATCAAGCAGTTATTACCCTACATTGAAAGATTATATCCTTGAATATTCTGTTCTTGCAAGTATGCATCTAGTAGCCGCTTGAACATCTGTATGGACTCTGATAAAACCACTTCCTCAGGCAGAGAATTCCACATCCTGATTGTTCTTACAGTAAAAAAACCTTTCCTTTGCCTTAGGCGAAATCTTCTTTCTTCCAGTCTAAACGCATGGCCTCGTGTCCTATGTAAAGTCCGGTTTGTGAATAGATTTGCACACAATGGTTTGTATTGGCCCCGAATATATTTGTATAATGTTATCATATCCCCTCTCAGGCGACGTTTTTCTAAACTAAATAGGTTTAAATTTGTTAACCTTTCTTCATAGCCGATATGTTCCATTCCTTTTATTAATTTTGTAGCCCGCCTCTGCACTTTTCTAGTGCCATAATATCCTTCTTTAGAACAGGTGCCCAAAATTGCACAGCATATTCAATATGTGGTCTTACCAGTGATTTTATAAAGAGGCAAAATTATATTCTCGTCCCCAGAATGAATGCCCTTTTTCATGCATGACAATACCTTACTGGCCTTGGCCACTGCTGATTGACATTGCACATTGTTGCATAGTTTGTTGTCTATAACAATTCCCAAGTCCTTTCATGTGTTGTTATCCCTAATTCGCTTCCATTAAGGGTATACGTTGCTTGTGTATTCTTTACGCCGAAGTGCATAACTTTGCATTTTTCAACATTAAATTTCATCTGCCATTTGAGTGCCCAGTCCCCCAGTCTATCTAAATCCCTCTGCAGCAATATCTTGCTCACATTGTATTATTTTACAAAGTTTTGTGTCATCTGCAAACACTGAAACATGACTTTCAATGCTGTCTTCAAGATCATTTATAAACATGTTAAATAGAAGGGGTCCCATAACAGACCCCTGAGGGACACCACTTGCCACCTCTGTCCAGCTTGAAAATTTACCATTAATGACAACTCTTGTACTCTGTTTTTAAGCCAATGTTCTACTCAAGAACAAGCATTTTCATCTAGACCGTATTTCTGAGTTTGAAATACCAATCTATTGTGTGTGAACTGTATCAAATGCCTTGGCAAAATTCAAAAGATCATATCCACGGCAACACTCTGATCTATATACTTCTACTTACTTTCGCTGTGAGAACGTTAAATCAAGGTTTGATATGACCTGTGCTTCATAAAACCATGCTGATTTTTGCTGATAACCATGTTCTTCTCAAGGAATTCTTGAATATTATCCCTTAATAAACTTTCAAATATTTTACCAGCCACAGAAGTTAAGCTCACAGGTCTATAATTTCCAGGCAAGGATTTTGAACCCTTTTTGAATATAGGAGCCACATCTGCCTTCCTCCAATCCTCCGGAACACTTCCTGAAAGAAAAGAATCTTGAAAGATTAAAAACAGAGGTTCACTTATTTCTGCACTTAGTTCCTTAAGTACACGTGGATGGATACCGTCAGGCCCTGGACCTTTGTTTATATTAACTTTCTTTAGTTGCTGCAGCACCTTGTCTTGAGTTAACCAATTACAATTATTCTGCAAGTTTTTAGTAGCAATCATTTGTACATCTATTGCCATGGGTTCTTCCTTAATATATACGGAGGAGAAAAAGTTATTTAAAATTCCTGCCTTTTCCTGGTCTTCATTAACTAACACCCCCGTTTCAGTTTTTAGTGTACCTACACTTTCATTTTGGGGTTTTTTAGAATTTATGTACTTAAAAAATGCTTTGGGGTTGGTTTTGCTCTCTTCAGCTATCATTATTTCATTTTGAAGTTTAGCAAGTCTAATTGCCTTTTGCATTATTTGCATCCTTATATCTTTTATAAGATGCATCTGATTTGTCCGATTTAAATGCTTTAAATGCCCTTCTCTTAGTTGTAATCTCTTGTTTTACTTCTCTACTAAGCCATGTTGGTTTTAATTTGTTTTTTTATATTTATTTCCCAATGGTACATACTGAGAAATGTACCTTTGTAATATTTGTTGGAAGATGATCCATTTATCCTCAGTGTTCTTTTCACTAAAGAGTTTATGCCAGTCAATATATTGTAAAGCTTCCTTAACTTATTGAAATTGGCCTTTTTAAAATTATATGTTTTAGTATTCCCCATGTGCTTTTGTTTTTTTTGAGTTTATTTCAAAGGACACTATATTGTGATCACTATTTCCCAAGTGCTCACCTACTTGAATGTTGGTCAAAAGATCAACGTTGTTTGTTAAAACTAGGTCCAGACAAGCATCCATTCTAGTTGGTGCTTGTACAAGTTGTGACATGAAGGTGTCATTTAACAAGTTTAAAAACCTAATTCCCTTTGCTGAGGCACTAGTCCCTCTGTCCCAATTTATATCCGGTAATTAAAATCTCCAATAATTAAAGTGTTACCCAGATTTGCAACTTTCTCAATTTGCTCAAACAGCTGTTGTTCCTCGTCAATATTAATATTAGGTGGTTTATAACAGATCCCAACCAATAGTTGGTTTCCCTTCTTTTCCCCCAAGCAGATATTTACCCATAAAGCTTCCACATTATCCTCCTCGCATTCCATTTGCTTAACATTTGGCTTTAAATCATGTTTGACATACAAACATACCCCACCACCCTTCTTGTTGATTGGACTCGGAGATCTTCTCCAGTGTAGCATGGATCGATGCAGGTCTGTGAAATAAGTACGTTGGGAGGACTCAAAGGCACACAGTGCATGTAGTGCTGTAATGTTTTAGTTTCTGTCAGAGAGTGATTTGCTCCTAACAATGACATTGCAGGAGGCTGCTGAAGGTGGCTTGGGACCACTTGAACGTCTACTTATAAACCAACTCTAGGTCCACTGCGAAGAGCTTTTTAATATCTTGTAGCAAGTTGTGAATATCCTGCTTTGTATCCTTCTTTGCCAGCACTAATGGCGTAGGCACAGAAGACCTTGTCTACATATGCTGGTCCTCTGAGTTAATCTCTGAGTCTTTCAGTATTTGGGATCTTCTCCCCATTATGTGTAAGTCAGGTGTCAGTCACCTTTCAACAGTGGGAAGAACAAGTAGTCAACAGGTGATTCAGGGGCGAGGTATGCCACTCCAGTCAGCTGAGAGGCTGTGTAGGTCCTAAACTTTCGGCTCGCCTTTTTCACTGTTGGGGAGAATATAAAAGGCATCAGATGAGTACCTCCCTTATACTGTGAATAATTTGCCATCAAGGTATGCTGGCAGTGACAGGTAAATCAGTTGCAGAGAGTTGCAGTGTTCAGCTTGGAGACTTTTTGTTTCCCCCACTTCTCCTTATTGTCTTAATTTGGAATTAAATATATTATCTAAAAATATCCCTCACTGATTTTTCTGTTACTCCTAGACTGTTATAGTCAGCATAGGTCACTTAGTGACATTGACCCAGGATTACCAATGAAACACCCACTCACTGGCTTTGACATTAGACATGTCTATCAGTATCTTGTATAGGCCATTCCATTGGCTTCATTGATTTCATAGCCTCAAGGTATCATTGCTCACTAGGCATACAGTGAATCTGTCTCCCTGTTTCTCTTAGTCAGCGCACCATTGTAATAGTGAAAAGTTCCTACAATATATCCAGTTCCTGTTATAATAGTGCTACAATACTCCAGTCTTATTATAAACCAGTGCCACTGTTCTGGGGGAGCTCAAGATGTGGAAGTCACTTGTGTCATGTTTGGGAGCACTGATAAGTTAGCGGTCTGGATTAATTAACTCTTTCATGCCATTCTGTCCCCACTATAGCTGAATGGCGGATAGTCCTGTCCACTGGGCGGGATTTACCATTACCTACAGCACATGTCCACTGGGCTGAATTTATTAGTAGGCCTACAGCAGGGGCCTCCCCCAAATACAAATATGTATAAGAATATACATATTAAAAATTACATATACTAAACAGTATATATTTCAAATTCTAAATTTACAATAGCTATTTTGATTTGCTGAAATATTGGCAGAGTGTATTGTTAGTATTGTACTATTATGGCTGTTCCTTTAAGGATGAAAATGTAAAGAAAGAAAACAAAAGAAACAGAGTAATCTCCCTTTAATTATCTACATAATTTTTGTGCAGAAGAGTGGGGTCATATTTCAAGCTGTCTTATTGTGTTACAAAATGGTTAACTTAATATCTTTACCAACAAGTTCTAGGCAGGCAATCGCCTGGTCTGGTTTTTGGATTGCTGTCAAAACTGTCTGAAAAACAAGTGCCATTTGTTTTCCTGCGCTTAGCATTTACCGGGAAACCAGGAGGATAAATTTCCAGGATCGTTTTTTAAATGGATCCAGATGTGAAGCCTGAGCCCCTCTAGGATAGGAGGGAAGCACAAGAGGAAATGCTCTGCCAGTGTTAGAACTCATAGTAACAGCAGATATTAATGTTTCCACAAAGTGAAGTTCATTGAAACGTGCTGAAAGTAACAAGATGATACAGCGTCACAAATTGCTTATAAAACAGGAACCTAGTACTTTAAACCTATTAACTTAATACGACTCCAAACACTGAAGAAATAGATGCACTAAAGAGTTTAAAAGTGATTTTATAGAATTTTTTTTAATATTTGAAGTGCATATACTATTTGTTTGATTAGCAATGAAAGGTACAGTAAATGTTAAACGGACCACTATTTATACAGGGAGTATCCAGGACAGGCTAATTATCTAAAAAAAAAAATCACTTCTATATGATATATGTTATAATACTGTTGATTTAATAATTTATATGGATAGCGAGAACCCTTATAGGACAACACATTTTTTTTTGTTTATTTTTTTTACCATAAATTAAAGTTTCAATGTTGTTGTTTCTTTCTTTGACTTTGTACCCTCAGTGCAGCATGAGCCCATCTAATGACGCACTTGCACTTGTTGGCGACAGTTCCTTGGTGTTCTCAAAAGTGGTACACCAGCGAACAAAGTCAGAACAGCTGGATACGATTTGAAAATCAGGACTGTCCTGCATAAATTGGGTTGGTTGAGAGTCATGAGAGAGAGAGAGAGAGAGACCACAAAAAGAGAGCTTAGACTTTTTGGGTGCTTGCAATATTTGATCAGTTTTAAGTCAATATTTGATTTTTGTAAACATCCCAAGTAAATCCCAAGTAACATCCAAGTAAAGGCATATTATATTACTTTTAATTTTTATATACATTGAAGGGGCCAAGGTACCTGGAGTGTCCCTTTAAGTAGATTGCATTGTATGTATTTTGTGGGTAGTGTGTTTGATATTATCGGAATACTTTCAATCAGACCAGCATACTCAGGGCCGGCCTTAGGTGATCAGACGCCCTGTGCGAGCCCAACATATGGCGCCCCCCCCCCCTTCAGCAAAACCTCTGCCCCTTCTACAATAGCCCTGTTCCGCCTTCTACAAAACCCTTCCACAAACCCCAGCCCCCCTTTCTACAAAAACCCTGCCCCCCTTTTTACAAAACCCTGCCCCCTCTACAAAACCCCTGCTCCCCCTTTAATAAAACCCCTGCCCACCCTTCTATAATTTTTTTTCTCCCCCTTTAACAAAACACATGCTATCATTATATATATCAACTATACAGCAATGTTCACATAATATCACTAAAAACCTTCCCCCTCCACCAAAACCACTGCCACCCTCTACAAAAGTCCTGCACTCATTCTACATAAACCTCTGCACCCCTTCTACAAAACCCATGCTCCCCTTATACTAAGCCCCTGCTCCCCTTCAACTAAACCCCTGCTCCCTTATACTAAACCCCTGCCCCCTTATACTAAACCCCTGCTCCCCTTATACTAAACCCCTGCCCCCTTATACTAAGCCCCTGCTCCCCTTATACTAAACTCCTGCCCCCCTTATACTAAAGTCCTGCCCTCTTATACTAAACCCCTGCCCCCCTTATATTAAAGTCCTGCCTCCCCTTATACTAAACCCCTGCTCCCCTTATACTAAACCCCTGCCCCCTTATACTAAACTCCTGCCCCCTTATACTAAACCCCTGCCCCCTTCTACTAAACCCCTGCTCCCCTTCTACTAAACCCCTGCTCCCCTTATACTAAACTCCTGCCCCCTTTACAAACCCCCTGGTCCCCCTTCAACAAAACCCATGCCCCCTCCACAAAATCCTTTCCCCTGCCACTTCACCAGAAATGCCTGCCCCCTCTTCTACAAAACCTCTCCTCTACACCTAAACCCCTACCCCCTTTTTTACAAAACCTCTAACCCCTTCTATAAAACCTCTGCTTCTCCCTAAACCAACCCACCTTCTACAAAACCCCTCCCCCTTCTACAAAACCCCTTCCCCAAAATCCCAGCGAGAAAACCTCTGCTCCCCCTTCTGCAAACCCCCCCACACACACATCCAAAAACAACAATCTATTTAATTTAAAAAAAAAAAAGCAATAGTTACAACAAGAATGAGCAGACTCACATTGAAGCTTGCTGCTCCCTGGACCCTCCTGACAGTGTCCCAGTCTGCCGACCTTGATACCAGCACTGCCCTCCTCCCTCACACTCACTGTGAGGATCCTTCCGCGGATGACTGTGGAGGCGGAGCACGCTCTTCCTCAGTGCTCCTGACCTCCTCTCTCTCCTGGCCGCTGCACTCTTCATAATTTGCAAGTCAAGTGCGCAGCACAATGCACTTGACTTGCTCTGCACATGACTCGGGCCGGCCTGTGAGTGACTGAGTGCGAGCTGTGTCGGCCGCCTGGCGCCCCTGTTGCCATGGCGCCCTGTGCGGCCGCACAGCTCGCACACCCCTAAGGCCGGCCCTGAGCATACTTGATGTAACACATGACCACAGCTTATCAGTACAAATATCTGTTAGTAAATAATAAAATGGCATTACAAGGAGCTGCAATACATCATTATTTTCCATCTACATTACTGGATCAATACAACAACTTCAATATCTTGATTCCTTGTATACATTTTAGTTATGGTCACTGATTAGTTAAACCTCTAGGTGTTTTTCCACATCGAGGAACAGAAATGAAAAGGCATTGTTTTGGCACTTTATATGAAACCTCTACTACGAGAATTCTGTTTGGGAAAATATGTTTCCGTTTAGCCTGCTTCACCTTAGAATACTCCAGTGTGATGTGGGATTTGGCACTGAAGGAATTCCACATATGATCTTATAACATTCAAACCCGCAGTTTATATTTTTACCAAATATACAGTCATTTCAAACTTTCAATTTTTATTCATAATTTTCTGGCGTTTAAAGGCAAAAGCACAATTTATATAACTTTTCTTTACTTCCTATACATTTCTAATATCATTTAACCATTTGATACTAGAGATGACTGTGATTCCATACTATCCTTTATGTCTCAGTGATCCTTCCCTGGGTAATATATCAATGCACTCTTAGTTGCTATTCCCTCGAAAGTAGATTTTGCCCCAAGACTTTTTCCAAGGTCCGCTCCTCTCCTTCCCTGTATATATTTTTTTGCAGTGTCCTCAGATAGTATTTTGAATTAATCTATAGTTTCTATGGACATGGCAATTTCCCTACCCACATTCTTAATTCAGATACAGTGTAATGTCCCATAATACCCTATTACTGTATCTTGTAGGGTGGTCCATCGTCAGTCATTCTCTGTACTATGGTTTACTTTAACCATCTTGTTACTTTCAGCAAGTTTCAATGAACTTCACTTTGTGGAAAAATTAATATCTGCTGTTACTACGAGTTTTAACACTGGCAGAGCATTTCCTCTTGTGCTTCCCTCCTATTCTAGTGGGGCTTTTACCTTTTGGCATACTGCCAAGGCGTTAACTCTGAATCCATCCCTTTTATTTCACTATTCACATCTTAAGGTTCCTACCTCCTGTCCTGTTGTGTTTTACGCCCCACCTCCTATAGACTGTAAGCTCGTTTGAGCAGGGCCCTCTTCAACCTATTGTTCCTGTAAGTTTTTGTAATTGTCTCATTTATTGTTAAATCTCCCCCTTTAATAATATTGTAAAGCGCTACGGAATATGCTAGCGTTATATAAATACCAGTAATAATAATAATAAGATTTGGAGTACCTTCACTCAATTCAACTCAGCCCTTTTCCCAATAATGATATGTCACGAGAGGAACTTGAAGCACCCATTTGGGCTGTTTCTGCCACTCCCACTGATCTCAGGCTTAGGTTTGGAGCCATGGACTGCAGGGTATCAGTCAAACCTTTCATTTCGTATAATATTGCAAGGATGATGTCAGCTAGTGTGCAGTACAGCATTTGAAAAGAATGATCTGCATGTTAAAACAACAGACAGATCATGCAGTATATTTGTATATATATTTAGATAGATTAGTGTAGATTTGATTAGCCGTATTAGTCCAGTAGAAAAGATGCCAAAAATACCAGAGTATTACAGTATGCAATGATAGTTTTTTTATTAGACTAATATAATATTTTAAAGACTTTGAAATATTATGTTAGTCCAATAAAAAAGGTAGCATTGCCTACTGCAATACTCTGGTATTTTGGCATTATATATATATAAAAGTGATATTATTATCATATTATTATATGATGACAGACAGATCATGCAGCATATTTGTATATATATTTATATAAATAAAACTGATACTGCACTCCAAAATTATACAATCTCAATGAAATGGTTTGGGTGCCAGGAACTGCATGAATGGCAGTGTTTACATTGCAGGGTTTAAATGTGTCTAGTGGCTGTCACTCAGACAGCCACTAGAGGCGTTTTCGCCAAATTAACTAAGTAAAACTCTATTTCAATCAGATGATCTCATAGAGACTGTTTGATTGGCACAGTGTGACATTTTGCAGATCATGCACTCTAGTCTCCGATATCAAAATGATTGATTATCTCAGCTGAGAAGGTGGGGCAGGCCGCATATTGAGCACCTGGCAAGGAAGAAAATGTGAATAAAAAAGTGCTTATTTAACTTAATTTCAGGCGGGAGGGGGCACCTTACACAAGCAGTCCAGCACTGTTGCATGAGCAATACGTTTATATTCTTAATTCTAAAGTGTTCCTTTAAATAACCAGAATGTATATATTAAAGGGACACTATAGTAACCAGAACAACTACAGCTTAATGTAGTTGTTCTGGTGAGTATAACCATTGCCTTCAGGCATTTTAATGCAAATACTGCCTTTTCTGGAGAAAAGGCAGTATTTACATTACCCCTAGGGACACCTCCAAGTGGGCACTCCTTAGATGGCCACTGGAGGTGCTTCCTGACTCAGTGCTGCACAGTAGGCAGCTCTGCTGTTCAGCGTCCCTACGCTCTGCATGGGGATGCTGAATCTTCCTCATAGAGATGCATTGATTCAGTGTTTGGACCCACATGGCGCTGGAAATAAGGTGAGTTTTAATTGATTTTAAGGGGGCCAAGGGAGGTGGGTGGGGGGAGGGGAAGCCACCTAAATGGTAGTTTTTGCCCTATAGGGTCAGGAATACATGTTTGTGCTCCTGACCCTATAGTGTTCTTTTAACTTTTTTGTTAACTTCATATAAAACAAATTTCAGGTCTATGAAAACGACATAATCATATCTTATGTGAAAAGAAGAGATAATATGACCATATCATGCTTTGCCTGCCACTGCAGCAATATATCTATCAGAGGTCGTAATGTACCGTAATTACTTTCAGAGTAATCTGTACAAATATATTCTGTGCAGAATCTCTTTCAGCAGAGCCCTCTTCATATATCTGTTGACATTACTGTTAATTGTTGCCACTGCATAATTGTTAAAGTACTGTGGGATATGTTGCTGCTAAATGATTACCACCAATGGCCTTGACTGAATATGTTTAGATAAACTTTTAAAATGTATTAATATTTAGAAAAATATTTTAATAGTTTTTTATTTTGATATTTTTCATAGTGGTATATATTTTTTAAATATATATATATATTTTGATATATGAAATATATTTAGTATTTTGAAAAAATTTTTTTGCAAATTTATATAAAAATATAAAATTATTTGTAAATCAAAAAATATTAAATCGGGACCAATGATAGTAATAATACATTTTTAAAAAAATGGTTTTTAGTTCACCAAAGTTTAGTATTTTGTGAACAAACCTCTCAGAATATTCAAAGAATAGCTTTCCATATGCTTAATCAGAATTGGTATTTTTAGCCAAGAGTATCTATTCAATGTTAGATCTATTTTTATGTGTGGATTCACTCATCTGTCCTCTATTAGACTAAAAATCGAGCTCTGTGTTGGCAGAGCATCTTTTTAAGTCACAACTGGTAGCGGAATCCTTCAATAAGTAACACATGTGAGGAAAGCATTGACATTTATCAAACTTATATCCTTAATATTTTCATATGGATTGCGAATCATTAGAGCACTATGAAGGTGTATACATGTATGTAATATAATAAGGTGTCTTAATACACAAAGTACAGATTTATTTTCCAGTAATGTGAGTAATGAAGTAATGTGTCAAAATCAATAAATACTATTGAAAAATGTAAAATGTCACGAGTAAAGATGATCCAGATGTCTCAAAGTGATTGGAACATTATGCACGCGACTTTTTCCAAATTTCAAGATCACTGCCCTCTCGTCTTAAGTAAAATTTACTATAGGAAGAAAATGTTAAGAAAACCGTTTTATGGAGATTGAAATGGAAGCTTCCAATGAAGCATTTTTACAAGCTGTGAAAGTTTATGTTGAATGCAACATATCAAAATATCCCATAAAACCCCCCCATCTATCGCTGTGTCTGGGTTATGTTAACTGCATTGGTATGTAAGTTTAGTGCTGAAGAAATACATATTGCAGTTGCGTTAACCCTTTAAAGGTTAACAGTAGTGGTATCCAATCTAAAGCGGGTCTGTCACGTTTTAATGTTTCATAAAGGTATATTCTTTATAAGATCTTGATCAAGACTTCATTGGAATTTTCAAATGCAATGCAAAGTTAACAAAAGGCAAAGTAGAGAGTAGTTTTATTGTAAAGTCTGAGGTTGACAAAAGACGGAGCTCCACCATGAGATTTTGTCCAATCCCAGCAGCCGTTACAAATGATGACTGTTGAGCTCTGTCTGTTGAGGATCCAGCGTGATCCTCAACAGACCTCAGTTTTTTTACTCTTGCGCATGCGCAAGAGTATAGCACCGACGTGGCTCCTGGCAACTGAAGAGGACAGCAAGACGAAGATGGTGGCTGTCAGGAGGAACAGCCTGAGGTAAGGAAAACTCACCTCTATTGTACGCTGCGGCTACCAGATCCACATGGGATCTGTTGGTTTTGTGGGTCTCTGTGAATTATGCAAATACCGACGAAAGTGAGAGATACACTTTAAATGTATTAAGAGGAAAATATATCATCATAAACAGTCCGTTTTCATTTTGTTTGTGTTTTGTAATTTTCTGTCTAATAAATGTGTCCCACGAAATCATGTGAAATATTCTATTTAGAGGCTTTCATACCATGTGCCAAGAACCACCACTTTTACAGGATTTAGGCTTTACCCAATTATGTTTTAAATGAAATATGAATGAAACCTAGACTGTCGTTGACCATTGAGACTTGGGATTTGATCAGCTACTCTCCATTCTTGTGCCGACGAGTAGAAGCCAAAGTCAGGTTTCTGGTGGTTATGTATGACAATGTTTGACTGGCCAATCCAGATCTAAGAATAAATATTAAATTTTTTGCTTTAGGTGCACTTACATATTGCATCTCACTTGACTTGACTATACACTGATACACACTGCACCCACACCTGTGCTAGTGGTTAATGAACATTTTAATGTCTTCAGATTGATTCTTTACTTGATATTAATGAATGTACTGTGAGGAGATGCAAGGATGGGGGCAGGGGCTAGTTTAGAGCCCAACGCTGAGTCCAAATGAACATTATTATTGTAGCTCTTAAGTTATTAGTAGATGGTCTGTTTTCTTAATTTAGGCATGTTCTTTGCAGTAGGGATTATGAATTGAGAGTTATCTGCATTCCATGTGATTTGTAATCTATGGCAATTAAGCAGTTTCAGAGGTGACAGGATTCTCATTCCATACACGTCTCGTCTCAGCGGACAATGCACTTAAAGATATTTGCATCACCAAAGTCATGATTCTTGTTTTTTTGTAATGATATTTACATAATTAATAATACTATTACATTTCCTCTCTGAAACAAATACTAAGAGTAAACAAAGTGCCAGATGGATGTCCTTTCAAATGCTGTATTACTTCATACTGTTTCTAGCAGACACACTATTAAATAGAATACCGTGTTAGCCGATACCTTGCGTAATGCTGTTTTGGTGCCTGTTAGTAATATTGATAGCACACCAGGCTGTGTGGGCTTTTTTGCTGCGGTATAGTCTCTATTTCTGCAGAGCGTTCTCTCTGCCTTCAGACCCACAGGGACTGGTCTATAAATCTACATTTACTGCTTAAAACCCCCTTCTCACTTTACCAAGTTATATTTAGACAATAAGAATATTACCCTCTATAGTCGTTTGCCTGTTGTGCTTAGATCAATATATTCTTTTTTTTTTTTTTCCATTGTGCGCTAGTAACATTTTAACTCTACTAAGGTTACAAAATAATTATTCCTCAATGGCAGGTGTGGAAACAAAGTTAGTTTTTTTTAAATTACTATTATTTTTGAGCCAAGCAGTTGACGTGTGTCCAGTAATAATACTGAGCCTTGGTATGCTGCCATCAATTTAAGCTGTTGTAATAAAGTTTATAGAATTGACAGATGAAGCACAAGCCTTTCCTCCTAAATTGCTATTAACAAAGCCAGGAATTCAAATAAGGACAAGTCTGGTCAAAAAATCTAACGCAATCCAAACGTATCAAAATAGCATGGTTTGGAGATGGCAGGCGTAGAGTTTGGCCCACTCTATGCTGACATCTGTTTTACCGGTTCCGCAATGGCTCTCTGTAATAACTTGCATCTGTACTTGTGGACAAAAAAATAAAAATAACCATATTTATTTTTTAGTTAAACTAGGTCAACGTTGACCTTTGAAAAACAGTGAGGGATGATCTAATAAAGCATTTCACAGAGAAGATTATTCTTTTTCACAGCCTTTTAAAGCCAATCTTTTTCGAGATAGGTTATTGCCCTATACTTTAGTTGCTCTCACAGCCCGCTATCTAACATAGCATTCACTACTGTTGCCATTCCGCCGTTTAATACCACCATCATTTTGCATTTACCATGTTGGTGACTGACATATTAAAATGAAGTAGCGTACAGCATGAAATAAACAATGTATTTACTCTGACTGATGAAGCTGCTTTAACTTTTTACTTAGCTGTACATTTTCTACCAATGTACTCTAGTATTATTTTTGCTTTCTCCAATTTTGATTTGCATTATGTTAGTACTACATGTTTGCACATGTGTGTGAATATCACGTTTGATAATTCTAATCATTAAAATAGAAGTGGTATAAACTGAGCACATTTCCTTAATGCTTTAATGTGCTTGTCTGATAGGATCTAGGATTCATTATTCAGTTCAATAGAGATAATTTAACTATTCTGACATCCCTTTATGACGGCATTAGGAGATCACATTCTTCTAAGCTAAATAGGTGTTAGTAAGTGTTATGATGTAAGCAATGTATCACTCTGTTGTATGTTCAAACATGGCAGAAGTGTCATATGGTAGTCAAACTATTTGTCATTCTCTGTTATTGCACGTCAGAGGGCATGATGTGACCGTAACTAACCAGCATACTGATAGCTTAGTAATACTAGTGGTATGGGACAGCAACCAGCCAGTATAGTGTTGACACAGCAATAAAAGCTGGCGCGATTTATGATGGCGAATATTAAGAAAATTGGGCAGACTAGACGGCCAGAATGGTTCTTAGCTGCCGTCACATTCTATGTTTCTATGCACTGATGGTATAGACTTCACATTGGATAAACATTCCTTTAATTTATGTCTTAGATGTTTTATAAATAGATGGTGGATTGTTGTATCTGTTGATCCAGAAATCTAAAATAATTTTGGAATGGCAATGGGTATCATGCAGCCCAGTGGTTTATCCTGGTTTTGTGCTGCCCTAGGCATGACAAAACTCGGGCACCCCCCCCTTTCCAAATTTATTTTCCTGACAGACCTCACTGATGCATGCACTGACATACATTCACTGACAGATACACAATCATTGTCACACACACACTGTTTAACCACTTTCACTGAAACATACACATTCACAGAAATACACACTCACTCATTCAGTTACACTCACTCATTTACAGTTACACACACACACACACACACTCACTCACATTCACTGACAGACACACACATTCATCGAAAAACACACATACACACCGACAGACACACATTCACTGACAGACATGCCTACAGACTCACTGACAAGACACACATGCACATTCACTGACAGACACACACACTGACAGAACTGCATACACACTCACTGTCAGGTGTGCACACAGTGTCAGACACACACTGAGACTCACATATACTAACTGACAGATATACACTGACAAACACACATAAACACTCACTGACAGACATATACACACTCAGTGTCAGACACACACCCACTCAGTGTTACACACACATTCACTGAAGACACACACTGACAGTGGCGTACACACAACCCATGGGGCCCCGGTGCAAAAACTGATTCTCCCCCACCCCCCCGCGCTTACTGTGCAGGGCTGCGAACCCTGCGACCGCGGTATGTACACCAGTGCATGCAGATACACATACACTTAAAGGACCACTATAGACACCCAGATCACATCAGCTCAATGAAGTGGTCTGGGTGCCAGGTCCCTCTAGTTTTAACCCTGTAGCTGAAAACATAGCAGTTTCAGAGAAACTGCTATGTTTCACTGAGTGTTAATCCAGCCTCTAGTGGCTGTCTCATTGACAGCCGCTAGAGGAGCTTCCGCGATTCTCACTGTTAAAATCACAGTGAGAAGACACTGAACGTCCATAGGAAAGCATTGAGTAATGCTTTCCTATGGGCGGTTTGAATGCGTGCGCGACTCTTGCCGCGCATGCACATTTGGCGCTAAGAGGCAGATCGGGGTAGAGGGATCCCCAGCGCCAAGGGAGTCCGGCGTTGGAGAAAGGTAAGTGCTGAAGACACACACACTCTCACGAACAGACGCATACACACTAGCTAAGAGACACACATTTACTGACAGACAAACACTCAGTGACAGACATACATACACACTCACTGACAGAGACACACTCACTAACAGACACCAAACAGACTCGCTAACAGACGCACACAAACTAACACACTCAGTAACACACACACAGTAACACACGGACACACACAAACTAACACTAACACACACTCTAACACTAAAACACGCACACATTTTTAAAAAAAATGTAATCCCCCATTCTCCCTACCTTTGGGAGTGCTGAGGGGATTCCCCGGGGTCCAGTGGTGCTGCTGGGTGGCCGGTCACCAGCTTGCTGTCTGGCTAGCGGGCGGGCACGCGAGGGTGCACTCTCCCCTGAGTGCTCCTTCTTCAGCTCCCTCTCGTGCCGCATACTGATGCCGAAGCCGGAAAATTATGTCATATTCCGGCTCCGGCATCAGTGCGGTGCGCGAGGGAGCTGAAGAGGGAGCACTAAGGGGAAAGTGCTCCCTCGCGCGCGCGCCAGCCCGTCCGTCGGGTGACACCAGGGCCACACTGGGTACATACCAGGTCAACGGGCAGCCGCGACCCCAGTATGCACGCCACTGCACACTGACAGACATACTCATTCACTGACAGACATATGCATTCACTGATAGACATACACTCTCTGGGTCGGACACACTCTGACAAAAACATATACAGTCTCAGTGACAGACATACACATTAAAGACACATACACACTAACAGACACACACACTAACACACACACACACTCACTTGCAGACAATGCTGAAAATCCAACGTATAGTGTCTTCACACTGTTATAATGCTATGACCCCAACGTACAGTATCTTCACACTGATGTAATGCTGCGGTTCCAACTTGTAGTATCCTCACACTGTTATAATGCTATGACTCCTACGTATAGTATCTTCACACTGTTATAATGCCATGACTCCAATGTATAGTATCTTCACACTGTTATAATGCCATGACTCCAATGTATAGTATCTTCACACTGTTATAATGCTATGACTCCAACGTATAGTATCTTCACACTGTTTGGGCAGACTAGATGGGCGGAATGGTTCTTATCTGCCGTCACATTCTATGTTTCAATGTTATAATGCTATGACTCCAACGTACAGTATCTTCACACTGCTTTAACGCTAAGACCCCAACGTACAGTATCTTCACACCATTATATTAATTCTAACATTGTTCCTAGCTTATCTCAAAATATATAAGAAAAATTGTGCAACTCTCTTTCATGTCACTGTGACAAAAACAATGATTAACTCAGCACAGAAAAAGAAAGAATTAAAAAAAAAAAAAAGATGGCAGCACGTTTTGGGGTCAGAGACAGCTAATTACAGCCTATAGAGGCTTATTTAAATCCAAATTACCTTTTTAAAAGTGCCCTGTTGTGGTTTCCACTAGCTGGTTATCTGAGAGTGCGTTCCTGATCATGTTTTTTCTGGTATTTGACTTTGAGGGACATTTACATTTTAGTGGTGTGAGTCAGGATGTGGCCGGTTATAGCACTGTTCTGAGAAATTGTAGGTGACTTGCTAATAATTATAATAACTTGCTAATAATTAGGATTGTGATTTTTACCATGAGCACTTTACATTCATATACCATTAGGATATTTGATATTTATTGTGTGCACTTTTTTTATTAGACGGTATTTGTTTAATTTGCACATAACCACATTCCAAGAGTTTGATAAAATGAATAAGTATTCTATATAAGCGCACCTCACTTCATGTTATTGTTTTCTTGGTATACTGACTGATGTGATAGTGCACGGTCATATATGTAGCCCATGAAGCAGCACAGCTTAGTGGAATAGGGCCGTGACAGAGCTAGGAGGCGAACATGCATAGTAAGTGTGTTTGGATTGGCTAGTTATCTGGGTTGAGCAGTCTAATACATGTAGTGCAGCCATTTTGAAATTTTACCATTCTAATGCTTTCTCAAAGACCTTGTTGTTGTTCCTTCCACCCTCCCTGATTTTGTGTTAGGTCTGGAATTATCCTCTGTCTGGTCACAGCGGCAGAGGGCTGGATAGGTAAATTGGGGTGTGGAATGGGTTATTACTGGGTATTGAATTAATTGTGGGTTTTAAAAGTTGGTATGTGGTTTAAAAAGTTGGTATGGTAGGTTTTGAGCTGGCCTGTGACTCAGAATCTGGGGTGTTGAGGTATCTTGGTATACCCCTGTATTTGATCATTCTGGCAAGTTGTTTGCACTTAATTATGTTTCACAATGTTGTTTATGTTGTTATATTGTTATGGTGTTATGTTGTTAAGTTTGGTGGTCATTGTCATTGTGATGTTGTGGGGAGTTTATTTATATACTGTGCCACAAGGTTTGTTTGACTTTTCATATTGAAATTGATATTATATCATATTAAAAGCTGCGGGCAGAATTATACCCAACATATTGGTGTCTGCATATTATTTTTTGTTTTATTTTACACTTGGGAGATATGTCTAGAGGTATTTAGCAGAACATGATGTTTTCTCCAGTATTGCAATTCTCCTCTGCACGAGAAACCCCACTCAACAGAGAGAAATGAACAGCAAATGAAGAACCCAAATTAAACTGGATGCACTTTTGTCTTAAATTCCTCAGATGTCTGTACATACCTGGCACTCTGCTCAGCGTCATAGACCATAGTTTTGTCCTTGGCCCCTTTTTCAAATCATTATGGACTTATAACATTCCCTAAGATTTTTCCAGCTCTGTGCTACTTGGCTCGTGCTGTCTGTGATTGGAGGAATCCAAGTCTCCACCTCTGAATATGAAGTAATTCTCTGAAGTTGTACTTTAGTTCACAAACAATCACAACCAAAAAACAATGTTTACAACGGTTTCTTTCTGTGTTCCTTTTGCCATTTTTGTCATGGATAGCTTTCTGAAATTAATTTCCCCCACCAAGCACATAAAACTGTTTTTCAGCCCCTAGATTCTCATCAGAACTGCATGTTCCAAGAAAGATCTGCTTTTCGTTTTATAGAACGTCTGGGCTTGTTGTTATGGTTTCAGACTGTTTACCACTGCAGTCCAAAATTGGATTTTTTTTTTTCAGATGATAAAAACTCTGTTGTCAATAGAACGTATGTTTTATGCGCTTCTTTCTATGATAGTTTAACGAAAGGTATTAAATGAACATAATTGCCAAGAATTAGAGCAGGTATTAATAGTGGTAATAGAAACTATCTCTACAAATGTTAATGATTTCATTGCAGATGGTACCACACACTTTTGGATGTTCTATCACGTGATCTCTCAAGAGCTTCTGATAGTCTGTGTTGTCATAAAACTCTGGACTTTAGAGCAACTGATACAGAATTTCTTACTTATTTTTCAGTAACACAGCTCTATTGACCAATGATAAACATATTTAAAGTGGCTCTGCCATTTAAAGTGGCTCTGCCATTTATTTTTTATTTTTACAAAACTATGATTATTTTACAAGTTATACATGTGGGATTATGTCCCTTTTGTATAGAATTAATTTCCCTTTTGTATACTTAGGATGTTGACAAAGGATGGAGCTTTAGTCAAGTTCCACAGCCTTTGTCAGTGGCTGGCCAGTTAGTAACTACCTCATTCCAGCGACGCACCACTTTCTAGGATATTGCAACATTGGTTCTCTGTTTTTTGTTTTTTTACATTATTTATGTCAGTGCAAATGTGTCAGGATTACTAGTTGATCCAGCACATAGAATTGTGTCACACAGATGACTAATAGGTAATGTATTACCGGGCCTTAGAATGGCCGGACTTAACGTACCAAAGAATAGTTAGGATACTTGCCGAGGTCAGGGGACACAGAAAGAGACACAACGATAAGAGAAAGCCAGAAGTCAGGGATACAGAATACAGGGAAGTCAAAATCAAAGCCAACTTCAAAAACCAGAAGAAACTTGAATCAGGAACGCGCTCTCGGACAACCACAAGGTAAACCACGACAGGGCACTGAGCAGGATGAGAACTGGGCCTAAATACCCCTCCTCTAGATCTGATAGGCTGTAACCGGCCTTTGACCCCAAAGGCAGTTACCAGGTTTCCATTTGCATAATTGCTGCTCAGCATTAACCCTTCTGTGGATTTGGTTGCTGCTCGGCACAACTTTTCCTGTGTGGACAGTAAATGCCATTAACCACATTTTTATAAGCGGATGAATATGTGACAAAATGAAGATAAACTAGTCTGTCAAGCCACAACAGCGTTAACAAACTTTGCAGAAATATACATAGTGGTACATTGGCATGACGTTTAGAGAGAATTAAATTGCACTTTTTCTTGTTTTAAATAAAATAAAATAACAGTAAAGAACACAAGTTAAGCATTACAGCAAGGCTGAGACGAGGTCAACGAAGTGTGGCGCTTTGTCCAGTTGACCCTTTAGACTGAGTAGTGTCGCTTGCATTACAAGCGTCAAGTACCTGATTAGAATTATAAGGGAAAGATAGTAAAATAAATTTTAAAATCACGATGATAAACCAAAGATAATAGCTGTAACATTTCTCATACAGGCAACTGGTTGTAGGAGTAGACCCTGTAGTAATTTATGTGGGAGTTTGAATATGAGAGAAGGCCAACAGTTAGGCCAACTTTTTTAACGCTAATAACCGGCTCTTGCTTGCGTGACCCCTAACCAAGGGGACCTTGGGGGGGTGGAGAAGAGGGTGAAGGAGGTGTGATGTGACACACCTCTCTAAGTGAGCAGGGCCTTAGCCAACTAGGCCTCAGGGGGGGGGGGAGGGAGTAGCCCTCCGGTCTAAACATAACGCCAAAAGGTTGCTTTGGTAAACTTTGCCAGCTAAAAAAAAAGCATAACGTAAAAAACTGTTTTAAGCGATCCTGTGGGGCTTTCAGCTGCAGTGTTTGTGGTCTTAGTCAGGTCTCTAGCCGAGGAGTCAGTTGCCCACGAGGTGTAAAGGGAACTACGGTGGTCGGGACCCTGGTGTGGGGGGTGCGTTGTCGTTGTCCAGACTCCTTTGCAGGTACTGCCTGACCCAGAGTGCTGAGCAGGGTGAAAGCTTCTTCTTCAGTGGATATTTTATGTGTAGTTTCGTTGTGATTAAAGGAACACTATAGTCACCTAAATCACTTTAGCTAAATAAAGCAGTTTTAGTGTATAGATCATTCCCCTGCAATTTCACTGCTCAATTCACTGTCATTTAGGAGTTAAATCACCTTTTTTCTGTTTATGCAGCCCTAGCCACACCTCCCCTGGCTATGATTGACAGAGCCTGCATGAAAAAAAAAACTGGTTTCACTTTCAAACAGATGTAATTTACCTTAAATAATTGTATCTCAATCTCTAAATTGAACTTTAATCACATACAGTAGGCTCTTGCAGGGTCTAGCAAGCTATTAACATAGCAGGGGATAAGAAAATCTTAATTAAACAGAACTTGCAATAAAGAAAGCCTAAATATGGCTCTCTTTACAGGAAGTGTTTATGGAAGGCTGTGCAAGTCACATGCAGGGAGGTGTGACTAGGGTTCATAAACAAAGGGATTTAACTCCTAAATGGCAGAGGATTGAGCAGTGATGCTGCAGGGGCATGTTCTATATACCAAAACTGCTTCATTAAGCTAAAGTTGTTCAGGTGACTATAGTGTCCCTTTAACCAGAAGGGATCTCAGTGATGTCCACCTGTATGTCACTCCAGCCGATGTCTGTGGAAAAGGTTGCAGTGGGTAGATGTTCAGCATGGGCTTCACTCTCCTCCATGGCCGCCATCTGGGATTGGGCCTGTTGCTGAAGCAGGATCCCAATATCCCTCGAATCTTGAGGTGTGCCCGGCGGTGGTTTCTGGGATCTCCTCCCCATGTTTGTGTGCAGGTCTACTGCTTTGGGACCGGTGGTTAGGTCTTGATCCGGTGCACTCAGAGGTGAGACATGCCTCAGGAGATTGTACAGGCTTAGGTGAGAGCGAGGTTGGTAGGCCACAGGCCTCCTCTTCTGCCTTTTCTGCCCGGAATGCTGAAAGAATGGCATGTATTGGCACCGTATTCTGTCTGGAGGTGAGTGCTAAAGGATATGCTGCTGAATGAGCAACTGTTCACTGGATTTTAGGCAGATTAAGCAGCAAGTCTCCAGAGCTGGGGAAATGGTGTCTGCTCATTTCTGCAGTTAAGCTCCCCCCTTACCCCCCCATTGGTTCTCTGTTTTGACTTTTGCGGGATCCATAGGCCTCACGACCACATGGCACAACCTGAATAGAAGTTAAGTAGCACTGGCCATGGGGCCACTAAATATCATTGTGGGAAGGGGGAGGCACAGAAAGGCTGGGAGGTGGTAAGTAACTGTAGTCAGGGCCGGCCTTAGGCAATTAGGCGCCCTGTGCAAAAAGTCTTCACGGCGCCCCCCCCCCACCTCCCACCAAGTTGCCTGAATACAGTAACACACACAGGCACCGGGGACGTGTGTATCACGAGGCAAACAAGGCATCTGCCTTGGGCGCCACTTTGCAGGGGGCGGCAAAAAAAAGCATCCCTCCAAACCCCCAGGCAGATCCCTTGCTTGCCTCGCATCCTGGGGGGCTCAAGAGCTGACCGGCTGGCCACTTTTGAGCCCCCCCAAGGCTGGCAGCGGGCAGCGAAGGAGCATACTCACCTGAGCTCTTCCTGCTCAGCTTCCTCTGCGCCGCTTAATGAAGCCGGGAGCCAGAATATGACGTCAGTCCGGCTCCCGGCATCACTAAGCGCTGCTTACTCAGCCTGTGCGCCCCCTGCCTGCCTGCCCAGCAGCCACACTGGACTGCTGGTAAGAAATCCACTCCAGCTTTCCCAGGGAGGCTGGGTGGATTTAAAATAAATGTAAAAAATATTAGTTTGTGAGTGTTAGTGGAAATGTCTGTGTGTGTGTCTGTGAGTGTTTATTTTGAAGTGAATGTGTGTGTGTGTGTGTGTGTGTGTGTCTGTAAGTGTAATTGTGTGTGTCTGTAAGTGAATGTGTGTGTGTCTGTGAGTGAATGTGTGTGTTGGTCAGTGAGTGTATATGTGTCAGTCAGTGAGTGTATATGTGTCAGTCAGTGAGTGTGTATGTGTCAGTCAGTGAGTGTGTATGTGTCAGTCAGTGAGTGTGTATGTGTCGTCAGTGAGTGTGTATGTGTCAGTCAGTGAGTGTGTATGTGTCGTCAGTGAGTGTGTATGTGTCAGTGTGTATGTGTCGTCAGTGAGTGTGTATGTGTCGGTCAGTGAGTGTGTGTCGGTCAGTGAGTGTGTGTCAGTCAGTCAGTGTATGTGTCGGTCAGTGGAGTCGTGCATCTTTCAGTGAGTGCTTGCGTCTGTCAGTGAGAGTGTGCATCTGTCAGTGTGTGTCCAAGTAATAGTGTATGTGTGTATGTCATTGTTTGTCAGTGTATATGAGAGTGTGTGTCTGTCAGTGAGTGTGCGTCTGTCAGTGAGTGAGCGTCTGTCAGTCAAAGTGCGGCCTTGACAGGAAGGGGTGGGGAAATTTAAACTCGGTTACAGGCATGTACACACACACTCAGTTAAAGGCAGTCACACATACAGGCACAGGCACAAACAATGGCACAGCACAGCGACACACACAGACAGACAGTCACATAGGCAGTCACACACACAGACAGACACACAGTAACACACACATAGACAGTTATACACACACAGGCAGGCAGTCACACAGATAGAAAGTCACACACACAGGCAGGCAGTCACACACAGACAGATAGTTACAGACAGACACACACAGGCAGGCAGTCACATACAGGCAGTCACACACACAGGCAGTCACACACACAGAAAGACAGTCACACACACAGACAGTCAGTCACACACAGAGACAGTCACACACAGAGACAGTCACACACACACACAGAGACAGACAGTCACACAGACAGTCACACACACACACACACACAGACAGTCACACGCACACAGGCAGGCAGTCACACAGACAGACAGTCACACACACACACAGACAGACAGTCACACAAACAGGCAAACAGTCACACACACACACTTACCTCTTTCCAGTGGATGCAGTTGGCTGATGGGGAAGCATCTTTCCCTCTTCCTGTACAGCAGGGGCTTCGGGAGGTATTAGCCCCGTCTCCGCCTCTCGATAAGCCCCGCCTCCGCCGCTCGGTAAACCCCGCCCCCTCTGCCGCGATTTTTTTTTTTTTAAATAGACCCGGGTGGAGAATAATTAATCCTCCAGCCAGGTACCTCTTTTAGCTCCCCTGCACTCCGGCCATGAGTGAGCTGTGTCGGCCACAGGGCGCCCCCTGTTCCATGGCGCCCTGTGCGGTCGCACAGCTCGCACACCCCTAAGGCCGGCCCTGACTGTAGTGACAGAGCTGCTTTAAGACAGTTTAACGTGTGAAAGTTCATCATTTAAACTCTATAAGATATATTCTAAACCTGTATATCTGACAGGTGTTGCAATAAATAATGTCCATACATATAATGCCAGTCATCCCGGTTAATTACGCTCTGGTTTTCCAGCTACCTCCTGACTGACGTTCCGCTCTTTTTAGAGAAGTGAATATTTTGGTCTGGTTGGGTGCTGGTAACCTAAATAAATATTTGAGAACACACATTGAGATCTGGTGGATAATGAGGTGATAACGCTAGTATAGCTAGCATAGGCATATAGCATTTAATATTGTTGGATATGATTCTCAAATATTTTAGTATTTTTGGCTAAACTTTAAATTCATTTAATATTATGAAAATATTTTTATCTTGTAATATTTAGATTTTTTTCAGTATATTGATATATTTTTTATATGAAATAAATTTTGTATATTTAAAAATTTTGTTTTTAAAATGTTTATCAAATAAATATTACATCATTTAAAAAAAATATCCAAAAACATTAAAAACTGATTTTGTACACATTGATTCAAGCTGCTTCAACAATTGCAAATATTTCCACCAGCACTCTTGTGGTGGTCTTGTTCTTTCTTGTGTTGTGAATTAACCAGCATTCTCTTGACGTCGTCTTGATTGATGGCTTATTTTCCGTTTTTTAAACTCTTGTAACATGCTTTATAACTGGTGCAGAAAAGAGGAAATAGAAGTGGTTAAAATAAGTGCCAACAATCTTCGTAGCATACAGAGGTTCACTGCAAGTAGGCAGTAACTCAACACTAAAAATATAATTCAAACATTTTAAACCATTTACAACATTGTCCACATTACATATTGACATTTTATACGATTCCCTGACTGATAGATTTTTTTTAGTAGACGAGTTACATATAGTCTATATACCTGGTTTTAAATTTAGCTGCTGTGATATATTATGCCGTTCCTGTTATAATCTTTAGCAAAACACACTTACTACAATTCAATTAGCCTTTTACTAAGGTTAAATTGCACCAGACCTTAAAGGGACATTATCATAAACCATTGTTTGCTTGTTTAATGGAGTCGTTTATACATTTTGATTTCTTTATATTATATTGCACAACTTTGCTTCTCTGCCAAATAATCTTTTTTTTTTTTTTTTACTTTTTTTTATTGTTTTGTATATTATTACTCTTGTATTATAACCCTCTTAAAAGGGAGGCTAACTAAAAGGTATGGTGTGGTTGTGTTTGTTTTTCTTCATATTTATTTATTTATTTCTAAATATTGCTCTTTTTGTTTTCCTGTAATACTGTACATGCATCATGTGAACACATGTTCCTGGCATGACTGACATAAAGCACTGACAATCATGCAAGTGCATTGCATTATGGGAAGCCATCGACACAAGCACCATTAACTGTTGCTAGATGTAAAGGATAAAACAGAATGATCAACATCTATTGTGACAATTCGTCTTTAAGACCATTCTTGTTTTGCACTATTTTATTGGTTAAATCTATTTAGTTGAACTTTAATGTGCCATAATTAATCACAATAGGTATGGGTATATGTCAACTTTGCCATTTGAAGATTTTTTTTTAACTTTGTTAACAGAAGCTAATTTGTTATCCTTCTAGGTGTCTAAAGGATCGTCTGTTAAGTTTGACGAAGAGCATGTCTTCTTATCAGCACAAACAGATGAACGAGACCTACCCACGGGGAATGAGCTTCTGCTGCAGTGGGCTCAGAAGAACTATGAAGCTGTAACATCTTTCACAGAAGTCAAATTTTCCAAAAATATTTACATCAAACTTGGTGAAGGTATGAAACTTTTTGAATGTGCATTCAGGGGAAGTAGCTGAGAGATGTCAGTAATTTTCAGAATGTATATATTTGGGGGCTTGACCAATATTTTGACGTATAAGCCTCAAAGCTGTAGTAGAGTATCATGAAAGTGCTCTTGGGTAATAGAAACATAGAAACATAGAATGTGACGGCAGATAAGAACCATTCGGCCCATCTAGTCTGCCCAATTTTCTAAATACTTTCATTAGTCCCTAGTCTTATCTTATAGTTAGGATAGCCTTATGCCTATCCCACGCATGCTTAAACTCCTTTACTGTGTTAACCTCTACCACTTCAGCTGGAAGGCTATTCCATGCATCCACTACCCTCTCAGTAAAGTAATACTTCCTGATATTATTTTTAAACCTTTGTCCCTCTAATTTAAGACTATGTCCTCTTGTTGTGGTAGTTTTTCTTCTTTTAAATATAGTCTCCTCCTTTACTGTGTTGATTCCCTTTATATATTTAAATGTTTCTATCATATCCCCCCTGTCTCGTCTTTCCTCCAAGCTATACATGTTAAGATCCATAAATTTAGTATTGTGTTAGGTTCCTCTGAGTGGTTCTTTGGTGCTTTTGCTTTTCTGGTCTGTAACTGTAGCTATGGCCAACGTCGGCATGGGCTCTAAGGCGGATTTAGATAGGATATTAATTCTGACTGTCATGGTGTGGGGGTAACCCATTATGTAGTATTTGAACCAACACCTAACTTGTAAAATACACATGCAGGATAAGAGGCATATTACCGGTCCTTAGGGTGGCTCGGCTTAAAATGTTGGTTAAAATTACAGATTAGTAGATACCTATGCTAGTATTATCTAAATTGACTTCTACAAGGATATTTTTATGATTTCATACTTGCCTTCAAAGTAGCGGAACTCCACTAGTTACTGCCATGTCTGCACACATTATGTGGGACATGGTGTTTAGCTTTTACAATGGACATGTCAGTTTGGTTACTACTTGCATGCTTTTACTAATACATATGTTGCCCACTAGCTATTACATGAACACTCCAGACACTTGGGAACCACTAGAAAATTATGCTTGAAATATGTTAAACCAAATGCACAGTTTTTTAAATTCTGTTTGAATTGTTGCTTTTTTCCCCTCCAGATTCCACTTTTCCTTCAACGTGTAAAATAGGAAAGAGCTTTCTGTCTTTAAATTACCTTGCAAGTTATGTCCAGACCCAGCCAGCTCAGGGCTGCATGCCATCAATGACTACGGAGAAAATAGCAGTACATATCATAGAGTTGGACTCCCCGAGCTCCACACCATACAGGTAACATCTTGAACCTGCAGGGCAGCTTATTCCCTTAGCTGATTCTTTTGCAATATATTCTATTGTTTACACCTCTATATTTACATGGCAGTTATATTAAAGAAGGTAAACCATACAAATAACTTAATATGGAAGAATGCCAAATTTGTTTCCTTTTTGTTTTCAAAGTACTGCATTTTTTACTAGATAATGTTCTTAAGTCTGTCAATCACTTATATGAGCAAAAATTATTATTATTATTATGATATTTATATAGCGCCATCAAATTCCGCAGCGCTTTACAATGGGTGGACGAACAGGCATGTAGTTGTAACCAGACAAGTTGGACACACAGGAACAGAGGGGTTGAGGGCCCTGCTCAATGAGCTTACATGCTAGAGGGAGTGGGGCAAAATGACACAAAATGGTACCCTGCAGAACTACAATTAACATATGGAAGTAGGATATTACCGGAGGAGACACAGGATGGGGGAGAAATGAGGGTCTGTCAGAGTGCTCTGATTTATTGGTTTACTTGCTAATCAATCAGAGCGCTTTGGTCATATTGTACATTGTGTGAAATTTTCCCACCCCTTGCAATATCTGGCATGTTTATAAACGTCTATAAAAGATGGATTCTTTTATGCTTTATTTTTGCAATGGGGTTTTGTATTTTTGTTTCTATTTGCAATAAGGCCTTTTTCATTTTAATTTGTGACATGGTAATTATTGATTTTTATTTGGCCTTTTTTGCAGCTGAAGAAAAGAATTAGAATACAGTAGACTCCTGGTGGTGTATTACACCTCCTTCTCACTATTATCAGTGTGAGTGGGAGTAGGTAGGGACTTTATTTTGGGGGGTTGCTACGAGATTGAGGACCCACTAGCCACGTGGGGAGGGGAGATTTTTTAGTGAGGAGTCGTTCATGGCATGTCAAACCCCCCTACTTTAGAATTAATTAGGGCAATCACCCGCCAGAATGTGTGGGGGGCACTTGGACCCCGTTAAAATTTTAAGAATTCCCTGACCTGATGCCCACAACTGGGGGGTAAGGGGAAACTCTGTCTCTCCCCCCTGGTTTTTCACAGTCCCCATCCCGATGGGATGCCACCTTTTCAAGCCATTCATTTTACAGAATCTGTTGGAAGGACCAAATCTTAACTGTATTTGGCTTCAGTAAATATGAGAATTACCAGCGCGGTCCGGTCGTTTTCACCTGATTTTGTTCATTCGAGCAAAATCTGGTGTTTAGTGAATAACCCTGTTAAAGATGATAATTTTAATCGAGATTTGTCCAAAATTGGCTCACCACATACTGTTAGATTGCATTTTCCATAATTATTTGCCAATGGTACTTGGATTGAATCCCAAGGCAGCTAAATAGTTAGTATGTGGCAGGAAATTTTAATGTTTAATACTTGTGAGAGTGGTAGATGGAAAGATGATCTTTTTAACCCGTTTAACCCCGGGGTTAGCTAAATCCTTGTTACGGTAACTCCCCTAATATGCTATCAGTCCAGAAAGTGTTAAGATCTATGGGCTAAGTGTATAGCTTAAAGGAGACCTCAGCCAATAGATGCAGCCATTCAAATATTTTAGAAGTGCAAGACTGGGCAACCATTTGTTTTTTCCAGATTCATCGTTCATTTAGATATTATGCTAGCAAGGCATGCCAGAGCTTTGTATACAGCCAAGATATTGTCGTAATATTCTGCAAATGATTAAGATTCCAAAATGTATTGAGAGGCTAGAATCCAGAGAAAGTGGTATATTATTTATTGCATGAGCTGTGATATCTTCTGTATTACTGGCATCATTGCACCATTACCTTACGTCTCCATAAAAACCCAATATCTTAAAATGGATATTAAACCGATAAGATTCTTTAAAATATTTCTGCGAAGAATATCTGCTAGTGTTGTTGGCATTACGATATTTCAAGTACCTTCATCTGTTTTCAATTTGCAGCGCTAACTACACTGCCAACATTTAATTGCTTTGGAAGGTTCATTTTGGAGTTTAAGCTAAAACACACTGCTTGCCTTGGTGTCTGAAACACACTTTAGATTTCTTTAATGGCCATGACACATGAAGTAGTAGTTGACTATTGTAATATTATGCACTTTCCACCTGGAGAAGCAGAACATACCCACGGGATAGTTAGTTCTTACCCCCCTACCCCACACACAAACAAACAGTAGAGAGAAGGGGTATTACAAAGTTTAATTTCTGTTTTAGCTCCAAAAGTTTTTATTTGGTTCTAGATTTTGGAGTCACCATCTGGAGAGGCCAAGTTTCCCTGCTGCAGGATTAGTAAACCTATTTTCAAAATAGCTTGTCCCTCAATATATAGATACAGATATATATTAAGGGAGATATAGATATAGATATAGGTATATATATAAATACACTTGCTACTCATTGGAATATTAACATCCGTAGTTTATTATTTTGACATACAATAACTGGTTGTTGTTTCGTAATGTGCCATAGGCATTGCAGATAATTAAGAATATATTCAATAGTATTAGTCCGAAAACAGATGGATTCTGACTGCTTTGAAAATTCTCCTGTTTAAAAAAGCAGTCAAGATTCTGTAATGTTCGTTTTGATGAGTTCAGAAGATTTTCGCATCTAAACCAATCTACAGCACCGGAATTGGAGATGTATTAACGACCACATGGTGGCCGACGATAAACCAAATGCATCTGACAGAATGCTGTTCACAAATTATCATTCACTTACTTTTTGCAAGTGAATGTTAATTTGAAGTGCTATAACTTTGGCAGCACATGGGTTAATTATATGGTGGTTTGTCAGTATTTTCTAGCCACATGAAAAAAGGAAGAAAAAATGAAATGGTTAAAAATAAGACTAACATATTGCTATAATAGAGGTTTTATAACTCCATATGCTACCACCTGCTATCAGGCAGATGAGGGCATATATATTAAACGTTAAAAACTAGTGACTGGGCAGACTTATTTTTTGGGGGGTGGACAATCGCATGTCCACCCACCCACCCACTTTATAATAAATTTGGACTTCCACCTGCCAACATGGGTGCCTGCTGGGGAGGAATTTAGGCCCCCCCCCCTTATTTTAAATAATAAGGCCCCATCCGCTTTCACGGATTGGGGCCAAGAGAGGAGACACTAGGTCCACCCCCTTTAATATAGATATTAGAGGCCCCCACTCGCTGGCAAGAGTGGGGGCCAGGAGAGGGGATACTAGGTCCACCCTTTTAAAAAATCAAAAAGGCTAAGTCGATGGCAGATTTAGAATACTTAACTAGAAAAATTTAAATATCTGCAATAATTATCTGGATTCTACACATAACAACAGAAGTAGTTGCAATTAATGTCATATAGTTTTGCAAAAATATTTTGTGTACTTCCTGGGAGCAGTGATGTATCAATTTTATTACAGATTCAATAACTGGCCAAATAACTTGAAAATAAAAATGCAGGGCATCTCTTTGAAACCTGGTTCTTTTCTTCTTTTCTTCTGGAGATTTTAGAACTGGCAGATTTTCACATAATCCATTGTGACAAGAATTGTGTATTTAAATTAATCTTGAAAACACAGTATAAGTAAGATTGCATGAGTGTGTAGATATGTGGGTGCGTGTTTCTATATATATATACACACACACAATTTACTGTATACACACATACACACATGTACTTTGTTACCATTGTTTTTGGTTGTGTTTTTTTGTTTTTGGTTGTGTTTTGAAGTAGTTTTGTGAGTAATCTGAGTTTAACCACTGCCAAAAACATATAGTTAAAGGTTAAATCTGGCTTAAAGGACCACTATAGTGCCAGGAAAACATACTCGTTTTCCTGGCACTATAGTGCCCTGAGGGTGCCCCCACCCTCAGGGTCCCCCTCCCGCCCGGCTCTGGAAGGGGGAAAGGGGTAAAACTTACCTTTTTTCCAGCGCCGGGCGGGGAGCTCTCCTCCTCCGATCCTCCTCTTCTCCTCCCCGTCGGCTGAATGTGCACGCGCGGCAAGAGCTGCGCGCGCATTCAGCCGGTCGCATAGGAAAGCATTTACAATGCTTTCCTATGGACGCTGGCGTGCTCTCACTGTGAAAATCACAGTGAGAAGCATGCAAGCGCCTCTAGCGGCTGTCAATGAGACAGCCGCCAGAGGGAATGGGGGAAGGCTTAACCCATTGATAAACATAGCAGTTTCTCTGAAACTGCTATGTTTATGAAAAAATGGGTTAACCCTAGCTGGACCTGGCACCCAGAGCACTTCATTAAGCTCAAGTGGTCTGGGTGCCTAGAGTGGTCCTTTAAACTGTCAATTTGCATTTAGCAAAAGTCCATTTAACATATCGTAACTTCCGTGTCTACAGTTAAATAAATTTTAAATTACAAGTGTCCCTTTAATATAAATTTGAGACCTACTGATCTTAGACAGGTTTATAGCTTGGTTCCTTCCCAGAGCACAATAGCTTTTTGTGATTTATGCCGCAAAGTGAGTGGGTAAATTACATGTGGAAACGTAATGCTAGAGCTGGTCGCTCAATGTCCAGGATTCAGGAAAACTCGGAGCAGATTAAACCCAGCAGTGCATACCTCCACACTTTGCTGTAAACATATATTTGTCACTGAATATAGCTTTGCATCATATTTCAAACAATTAATTTCCGTGGAGGGGGAAAACGAATGACACATTTTGTTTTATATCAATCTGGTAAACATATGTTCCATTAGTTGGGTAAAACCCAAGTGTCTAATTAGTTAACCAGATGCTGCAGCATGATATATATATATGTGAGGATATGATAACTGAATATATCTGGTTTTGCTCTTAAATTATTTTTATTTTTTTGCTTTTAGCTCATTCCAGGTGGACATAATTATTGACATCAGACCCTTCCATCCTGATGCTAAGCTTGAAAAAAACATTGTTCTTATCCTTAAATGCGGAACGGCAGTCAACTGGGTCATCAAAGCTCATGACATTAAAGGAAAACTCGAAGTATTGGTATGTTACGCACAATTTTACATTTATAATGAATTGTCCATGATAACCTGCATTTTAAATGTGTTGAGTAGTGTAAATAAAAATGACGTGTAATGAAACATAAGATTTTGTTGTTGTTGTTGAAGTTTTAAAATGTTTCTGTTTATGTACGTCTTTTTGTTAAATATATGAATCCACCTTTGTATTGATTTTTTTTTTTTTCGAGATGGTAGGTTTGATAGTATACACAATAACATTAATTACATAGATAGAACAGTGGTCCTACACTCAGTTCCAAAGCACACCAGTGGTCCATGTTTTGTTAATACAGTGGAACCTCGGAACTCAAATGGTCCCTTTCTGGAACAATTCGGAAGTCAAACACAAATTCTGACAAAAAAAATTCTCAGTACGCGAACAATCCTCGGTACCCGAACAAATCATGCCACAAACATGCTTAATTAGACACACTTTAGACACATTTAAATGCCAGAAGAACAGTTACCTACCCCATCTTTGTGTTAAAATGCTGTAATTTTGGGGGGTCTGGAACAGGTTAATTAAATTTACATTAATTCTTATGGGAAATGTTGATTTGGTTCTCGAGAAAATCGGAACTCGAAAAGCCTTCTGGAACAGATTGAGTTTGAGTTCCGAGGTTCCACTGTATCACCATAGGAACAGAATTTAAACATAACACAATTCTGTAGTATTGGTGTGTCTTGAGGGTGTTCTCTGGAAACACTGAGATAAAGTATGGAAATGGGATTCTAACATTGGTGTTAGTGTTCTGGTTCTTGCCTCCAGAGTTTTTTAAGATGACCAAAACATGTTGAAGTCTGGATAAAATGTTAATTTTTTTTTTTGGCATACTCTTTGTGTTCATCTAACTAGTTATGCTATACAAATTCTTAAGGCACGTTGACTTTATTTTAAATAAGTAAAATCTAAGATAAGTAAACTTTGAGAAAAATTTGTGAACATATAGAAATATAATTGCAAAAGTATTGTACGTTCACAAAATATTAAACTGCCAACCCAAAATAAAGCAACCACTGTTCTGGTATAATAGCCATATAGAGAGTAGGCCAACTATACCCCGGCCTTTTAAATTCAATTAGCTATATGTGTGTACATAGCCATTGTAAATGAATATTGCTTGTTATGGTCTCCCTGAGAAGGACTTATCCACTTTCTCGATGACAGATTGGTAACAATTCACTTGCAATAACATACATTCTAACACCTTCCTGGACTAAACTTATCTGGATTTTCTTGCTATCTCAAGCATTGACTTATTTATAGATTACTAAATTTAGTTTATAATCCATACTTATTTGCCCTTATCTCCAGTGTTAACAAAAAAGATTGCTTCATGTATATTGCATTGATCTGTAGAACAAAGATGGTTAATCTTGGCGTTCCAAGTCTGTACGATTCTGCTTTCCGCATAATCAACAGCCTTCTCCATGATGCACAGCCAACCTTGACAGCAGCCAAGTCTGCCTCATATTGAGTAAATGGTATCAATTAAATATTGACAATTCAAAACAGAAAGACGTTGAACTTTGCTATGGACATATGTACGCGTTAACTGGGTGCAAATTCCAGCTGTACTGTAGGTGAGGAAATACTGCATAGAAATAAAGATATAGAACTGGACGTTAAATATAAAAATAACAATGAACCTTTATTGAATCATCATATAAAGTTATACACCAAAGGTTAAATCCGCCAAATAAAGTGCATCACAATACAGTAGCACTCAAGAAACAAAACAAAGTGTATGAATACACTTAATGGTACAGAGCTTAGTGAATATTCTTGCAGGTGTTAATGAAACCCTACCTTCTAAAACCTTCACTATCAAGCAATGTTCCAGAAAACTAGCGCCGGAAACCATTTTTTGTGTTATGGAAGGTAATATGTGAATGTATTTTTCATTTCTGTAAGCATAGATAGCACATTATTTAATGGATACAAAATTAATATTTTGGGCATTTTAAGTTCTCTTTTCTTGGGCTTACCAATGAGGGAGGCAATGATTCCTGTTCCATGCTGGTCCCGTCAGCAGTATGCCACAGTGGAGACTATTGGCTCCATAGCTATTAGAAGCGAGTGCAGAGGGAGTCTGGGAGATCTTTCGATCAACTCCCCACCAACCATGGCAATCTAATAGTAGCGTTGGCTCTGCCTGTTACCTGAAAAAGAAAAACCACCAGCACCAGGACAGACCTCAACCCTAGGGAACCAGGGGCAGTAAACAAATTTTGCCTGCAACTGTCAAAATTGCATATAAACGATACTGGAAACATACCTTGAAAATCATGTATATATGATTTTGGTAGTGAAGGGGTTATATAGAATGTTTGGAAATAACTCAAAATGTGCATTTCCCATTAATACCTCTTGTACCAGTTTTGTAGATGATTAAAATGTGTTCACTAATCAGTAAACTGTGTTTTGAATAAATAAACGGCAGCGGCAATGTGGCTTTGCTCAGTTTACGGAGCAGTTCCAGTCATCAGGTATGATGAGTGGAACTGATCTGGGAGATAAACTTCCTATCACCAAAACCACTTCAGGACATAAGTTTATGGGTTACAAATAGACCCCACAGAACAGAATATGATGCTTCTTAATGGAGGCCTCTCCCTGGTTAAAGAAGGGTTGGCCTGTAGATGCAGGCAGATCCACTATACAGTGTATATACAGGGGATATTAAATATACATATATTTATTATTTTCTAAAGTTAATTGTTTTGCATATTTTTAATACATAACCTATGTAATACTTAAGTGGGGGTGAGAGTGGGATCCTTTCCCTCCCCCCTCCCCTCTACCCCCCATAGTTTTCCCTTAAGATCCAGTCCATATTTAAGAAATGATTAGATAGATACATTTGTGTATCCAATATTCACTCTGTAAACTGTGGAAAGAATGCTCTAAAGAAAGATTTTCCAAAGGGAAGCGTTTATTTCTGACATAAGTTCATGTTATTTTGGTTTGTAAGGCATGGAGAATAAGCAATTCTGGCCTGTTTCAGCACAAGATGAACTGGGTCTGACCTTAAGATGTTTTTTAAGATTGGTTTCCACCACAAGATTGGTGTACTGACATCTGGGTCTTCTTGACCTCAGATTTTTCCCTTACTATTAACTTGCGCTATAAATAAAAGCAAAATTTACATGTTCAGTACTTTTGACAGAAAATACTAACCTTTTCGGTACTGAGCTCTATGCGTTCTTGACCATTAGGGGTTAAGCTGATCACTATGAGATACCAAGGAGGGAAATCCCAAAGTTGTGGGTTTGTCCATGCTGCCAAATTCCTTATTTAAAACATATGCTACTCTTCTTTTTTTTTTTTTGTCTAGATAAGTAAATTGTCATTTATTTTTATTTTTTTGTACAGTTTCACTGCCATTTCTTGGGGATGATTTAAAACTCATTCATCTAAGATTCTGAGATGCATTTCTGTGTCATATGTTTATAACAGTTTCCTGAAATTAACACTATAATTCACTAAATCAGGGGTAGGCAACCTTCGGCACTCCAGATGTGGTGGACTACATCTCTCGTAACATTATTACAGACATATTGCTGGCAAAGCATCAGGGGAGGTGTAGTACACAACATCTGGAGTGCCACAGGTTGCCTACTCCTGAACTAAATAGTGAATTAACAACCAAAAAAAGCTAAGAAAAAAAAAAAATCATGTCTATGTCACTATGCTCTTCATTTATCAAAAGGTATATTCCAAGCCCCAAAACATATACAGATTTATGCAGTAGTTATGGTGCTATGAGGATATGGGTGAAGTCTCTGTTTTATTGTCAAATTGTCTTCACCCTAAGCTCATGCTCTTTCATGGCAGTCTCATCAATTGTGTGCTTCTAAAAGGGGTTAACAGAGATTTAGTCAAGTCAAAAGGGCTATTCTGGCAAACACTTCTTACAGTCTCATTGAGCAAATAGTCTGGATGAACAATGAGAGTGTTCACTTCTTCCATTGCCATTTAAGGGGCTGGGCCTAGGGTGCTGTGGATTCCCCCCTCTGGTCTTTGTCAGAGTGCTTAGCAGTAAATAAAAAATAGAGGAGTTTGATTCATAGCCTTATGATACCATAACCACTGCTGTAAGATGTAGTGATTATATGGTTATAGGATTGACCCTTCAATCTGTGTTGTGTCTTTGTTTATTTCCATTGTGTTCAGTCACCCACAATTGTTTTTAGGATGGAAAATAATCAGATCCATGTATTATTTTCAACTTTAAAAGTAAATGGGTTAAAAAAAAAAAAAAAAATACATATTTTTTTTAATTTAAAATTTCCCAAGGGTTAAATATCCTGATGTGTTATTTATGCAAAATAACTGACCCTGTACAAAATTTCCAAACATACTTATAATGATTTTTGGCACTATTTTAAAATCAAAATTGCTTAATTTTCTCCCATTTAAACTCTCCCATTATAATCTACATTCTACTTGGAAATTACTATAACATGCATTGGAAAACTTGTGAATCTCTCTTCTGACTGTTTTCAAAGCATGTTTTCCTTGTGATTATTATTTAATTTATTTCCTTAAAATAGAAAATTAAATTAGGAAAGCATTGACTTTAACAATCTGTAATAATAACTGTTTTCCTTCTTTAGATTTGATTATAAAAAATTTCAAGTACTACATCATATGCACATATTTGTAGAGATACTTACTAGATTTTAAATGTCTGATTATCTGTATTTTTATCTCAAAAGCACCTAATATTTCTCATTGCTAGCGACTTGTAACCGGAAAGTAGTTTATATTCTTTCCCAGGCCTCTTTTCAATGAAGAACTGTGTAATTCTCTAAATATAGGTTTTTCTGAAGCAATATACATTCTTACTTGAACTACATCTCAAGGTTCACCATATACAAAATGATTGTAGTGAAAATGATGCACGCTGTATATAGCTATCGCTGCACTGACACAGTGCTCTCGGAAATTAACAGGATCATTCCCAATCTAGATTTGCACACGCTATAGTACACAGGCAGAATTGGTTTCTTGAGAAATTAGAAATTTATCCCCCAAAAATTGTATAATTATACGTCAACTAGCATGAAGAAAATGTAAAGCCAAATAGACTTAAGCAATTTTCATAAACAAGATGCTGTTTAGCTCAGACTGAAAATACAATGGGGGCAGCAATTAGAGTGGATATTTAGCGTACCTGATGATTTAATTTTACAGTGTTTGGCAGGGATTGTGCTTCAGCAGACATGAAATTACTGTCTAACTCGGTCTGCTAATCTAAAACAGAGGAGAAAAGGTCATACATATTTTTACAGATGTTGCTAATTGAGTTAACCAAAGCATATCATATTCGTGTAAGAAATGCACCGCATTGGGCTGTTATCTATCTAATCTCAATCTGTTATTAATGTAAAGAAGAACCTTAAAAACACACAAGGTGTAAGACTCTATGCCAGTTTGAGGTCAGTCACTGTGGGAATTGAGAAATGAAAATATTAAAGATCAAGAGAGAAGGAAAGGTGTTCTTAATTTTTTATTATATTTAGGAAAATGAATACTTAGTATACTAAGTGTGTGTATTTCAATGTAAGAAATGTTGTTGTTTTTTTAAGGATATAGGATTCGATTTAATAAATTTGCTTGAGGTCACCATTAAAAGAACACTATAGTGTTAGGAATACAAACATATTCCTAACATTACAGTGCTGGTGTCATGACATGAAGGGGTGCTGCCCAGACACAGCACTATTCCTTTAAATGTAGGAACCAATTTAGCAAAGAATAAATGCAAAATACACAATGAATAGTGCAAATAAAGAAATATATATATATATATATTAAAGAGAATCAAAGTACAAAAAGATAACAAAACAACATATAATAAATATATACAAAGTCACAGAACAAATGTATTTAACCATATAGGATAAGCATGAATAGTGCTGGCAGTGAATACTTAAATAGTCCTTTGGTATAAAGGCAGGATTGTGCAGGCACCACTAGTAATAGGTAGGGCACAGATCCAAAGTTCACAAGGCAAATATACCAGGAAGCAAAACCAGAGGCAAAATAAATGAACCAGGCTGCAGGGTCAGGATCACTGGCAATAAGGCAGCTAGCACGATACCAGAACAAAGGAGCAGGAGGACACAGGAACGAAGACCAGGAGGACACAGGTACGAAGGACCAGGAGGACACAGGAAAGAAGGATCAGGAGGACACAGGAAAGAAGGACCAGGAGGACACAGAAACAACGGACCAGGAGGACACAGGAACGAAGGACCAGGAAATGCAGGATACAGGACCAAGGAACAGCATGCAGGATCAAGGAGTCAGAATCACAGGGAACCAGGAACCGGGGAAACAAGAGACAATGATCTGACAAGGAGTGAGGGGAGAAACCAAACTATATAGGTGCTAAACAAGGACCAGGTGAAGTGCTAATGAAAAGAAATTAGAAACAGTGCCAAACAGTGATAGTGGTGTGAATGGGTACTGCACGAGGGAATATCAACTAAGGAGTGTGTCGTGACAGCTGGACTACCTATTTAAGTGTCTGGACCCACTCAGAATGGTGTTAAAAGGTATTTTACTTACCTTACCTGGTCTTGCCGTGACAGGCTCTGCCTTGGTGATCTCAGCCAATCTAATGCTTTCTCATAGGAAAAAAATCATCATCTCCTCATAGACATAGAATGAATTAAAGATTGCAGAATGTAACCCGAGAAGTCCCACTAGTGGCTTTCTGCGTGACAGCCACTAGAAGTATTACTAAGCAGCAATGTAAACACTGCCTTTTCTCTGAAAGGCTGCATTTACATTGTTGAGCCTGCACGGGCAGGTTATAGACACCCAAACGAGTATATTTAACTGCAGTGGTTTTGGTGACTGTAGTGTCCCTTTAAAGTCTATGGGGATTTTCGTAGACCAATCATGTGGAAACAGTACTAAATGGTATCTTACAGTATTGAATCTTTTGGAAAACATAATAAATTGAGGCCATAGTTTGCATTTCTTTGATCCCACATAATATCTACAAATTTTATGTATGGTATGTCCATTTTGTTAATAAAGATATGGTAGCAAGAGAGTAGGCGATATTTCACACAATTTGTATGGAATTACTTGGAAACATTTGTATATTGATGTCCCATGGACCCCACACCCTCCATTTTGTTTGCTATGGAGGTTGAACTGGGTGCCAAACAGGAAACCCTAGAAACTAAAATGGATGACCAAAAGGTGGCAGTAGTCAGTACGTACATTGAGTCTGGAACGCAATGGCCAAGAATGAGCATCTCTCCTCTTCTTGTTTCCCCTAGAGATCAGCACATTGCCAGCAATAATTCTCTAGAGTTATGAGGTGCAATTATGTTTAATTGCGTTAAATGGTCTTGGCGCTTGTCAGTCTAAACATGCTGTTTTCTAAATTATGCTGTTTTATTTAAACGCAAGTTCACTCTGTAGTTTATACTTGTATATTTTTATACGGGTCATGTTTTAAACATTGAAGACTATTATATGACTTAATCTACAATGAAATGCTTTTCTAACTTGTTTCTCTCTTCGAAATCCAGAGCCCAAACAGTATAAGTTTTGGGAAAGAGATCGATAAGGATTTGTTCACAAGCAAGCATGTGGATTCGAGCATCCCATCAGCCAAAGAGAACCTGGTAAAGTGGGCTATGGATAATGGATATTCTGAAGTGTCTTCCTTTACACATGCTCCTGTGGCAAACAGATTCCAAATCAAACTACTTAATGACAAAGGTAATAATAAAAATGTTCTGTGTGTGTGTATATATATATACTCACTTGATATGACCTCTAAAGATGATATCTCTTGTTCGTGTACACTGTGGTTGCAATGCTTGGCCCTCCAATTATTAGACTGTATTTTCCAGAGTTGCTAGCCACAGGAGAAGATATGGGGTAGTCAGTAATGTTCTAAATGTTTCCATATTTGTAAAATGTAAACTATATAACATATATAATATATAAAATTTAAAATTAACATATATAATCAAGATGAAATACTACCTCACATGGCCAAGTGTCACCAGCCCTCCAACAGTATAAGCCACGTGCCTACAGAGAGGACTTGGCGTGCTAGCTGTGGCACGTGTGCGATAGGTTTGCCATCGCTGGTACAAGTTGTTTGTTTTTTATATAAATATTGTTCATTAAAGTTTTATCGGTACAGCAATAAAATCATATCTAAATCAGATAAGACAATCAATTATCTGTTACGTAAAGAATGCAATTTCAGAATGAATAGCATATAAAAAGAAAAGACAATAGAAAATCTTAAATAAATAATATAATAAAATTACATAACAATACCTTTTTTCTCGTATCAAATTTTATAATGCATACTACCCATCTAAGTTTACAAATACTACTCGTATCAGAGATTAGCCCCCCCAAAAAGGACAGCTCGAAAATATATTCTATGAGAAAATTAAAAAACATAAAGAGCATTTTTATTTTTTTAAATGGGATTGGTCAATCTTCCAGAGGATCTGAAACAGGCAGATAGACGATACCTCTTAACCACTTAAACTGTGTAATATTTTGTTGGTCAACCTTACCATATGCTGCTTCTATCAAGCAGGTTTGCTTACTTTACTCAACCGTTCTCTATAAGATGGAGGAACTGCACTTTTCTAAGATAAGGACATTAGTGCATTAGGCAATCTAATAGTTAAAGATGTTGAGAGGAACATAAAGAACTTTAAAGGTACCCGATAAGCACCAAAAACTATTGCTGAATGAAACAACTTTGGTGAATAGATTATGGCCCCGCAGTCTTACTGCTCAATTCTCTATTTACTAATTAAATCACTTTGTTTATGCAGATAAAATTGCACCTCCCCTGCATGTGCACTACACCGTCTCCCTACACCAGGTATACACCAGGCACTGCAGGTGTTTTGAACTACACCTCCCATGATGCTTTGCCAGCACTATGGGTGTGAAAACATTATGGGGAATGTAGTCTACAACATCTTTAGTGCCAAAGGTTGCCTACCCCTGCCCTACACATTATTCTGTAAAGAAATATCTAATGTTTAAACTTCCTTTATTGCATAGTGTGTTTAATTTAGGTGGCAGTAACCTGCAAGAGCCTGCAGGAGCTGTCTGCATGTAATTAAAGTTTAATTAATAGAGCAGAATGTAAAAAAAACCTTTTAAAGTGAACACACTGTGCTGTCACATCTGATTCCATTGGATGCGTAAGTCACAGCCAGCGGAGTAATTGCTAGGGTTGCATAAACAGAAGCAAAAGTGATTTAATTCCTAGTGGTTTTAATGCTTAAAGTTACCCTTTAATTGAGAATTATATTACCTGCTGTAATCGGTGGTGGTTAATCATCAAGAGCATGTATCGCTGTAGAAACATTTTGCCAATATGATTTTTTTTTTTAAATTCTTTATTTGTGTCGTTTTGCATGAATCCAGGTAAGTGGGGTGAGGTGTACAGAAGGAAATGAGGAGGGTTGGTACATTACATTTCAGTGTTATGTGTACCATTGCAGGGTACGCCTTCAGACATTTTTACATTTTCATACATTAGCAAATCAACATCTGGTATTGAGATTGAGATTGCGAGTATCATTCAGTTTGCATGTTTGTTGTTTCTTTGTTTTCTATGTCTGTGGATGCCTGAGGTCCGGCTAATAGGGTGTGAACAGAGATAAGGGAGAGGAGGTTAGGCGGAGGTTAGGCAGGGGCTGTTACACACTTTTGTGCAAGGCGTTGGTCGTCCCCTTGTTGTATACTATATTCAGGCTTGTGGACCTAGTTCAGGAGTGTATCGTTACTAGTGTAACTGGGCAGGGGTGTCTTCGGAGCGTCGCTGGGACCTGGGGTTATTTGCCCATTGGAGGGGACCCAGTTGCGGTCATGAATGTTGGATGATTGTCATCTCTCCAAACATTGTTTAATGTCTAAGGGTAGGCGTGTGTCTCATCTATTGTCAGTCGAGATGTGTCTGTTGTTTGGGTGGGCTGTCCTGTTGCCCCTTCAGGCTTCGTGTGCTGGTATCAAGAGATGGTTGGTTCTATGCCCCTGTCCTGCCCCAGTTAGTTTGTGGATGGTGGGTGTCTCCTGAGGTGGTGTCCAGTGTAAGTTCCCAGTTGGGCCCGGGCGTGTTTCCCCTGTGAGCCCAACCTCCCCTTCGTGTTTGAGGATCTGTGTCCCTCAGTGCGTCTTGCGTGTTCTGGACAGCGGCCTGTGTCTTGCCCTGTGAGTTTCCGGGGAACGGGTGGGGTCGGGTATGGGGTTTGAGGTATGGGTATGAAGACTGGGGTCGTGACTTGCGGGCCGCCTGGGGCACGGCCCTCCCTCCCTAGAGCTGTTGTGAGGGTATGGGTGGTGAATGGATGATGTGGCTGTATGGGTAGTTGCCTGGGAATGTGTTTTGTTTTTCTGCCCGGGGGTGGCGTGTCGTCCTCCTGGTATTGTTACCATGGTATGGTTGTTTCCCCCTCTAGCCATGGGTCCCAGATTTTGTGGAAGTGTTTGGGTTGTATCGTGTATTTGTGCTGTGAGTTTGTCCATGTGCGAGCTGTCTATTATCTTTCTCATGATCATTTCTTGCCAATATGATTTAATGAGAAGGCTATTAGGACAGGCAAGCTCATGACATGTCCGTTCAGAGATACCTTTAGTGTAAAAATAATAATAAATACTTAAGTTTCTTTAATCTTATTTTGCTTTTTTCCTCCCTTCAATAGTGATGAGTGATGAAGATAAGCCCATGCTTCCTCCAGAGCTGACTGATCTTTTGCAGATCAATAAGCAAGATGGCGGCTTCCATTCATCACGTGGAAGTTTTCCGTTTCCGCTGCCTAAAGACAGAGGGAGAGAGATGCTAGATAAAATACCAATCATTGATGGGCTCCCGCAAGAACCTGAAGAAGCACAGGGGAATATTAATGTGGCTCTTTCTGTGAAATGTGACCATGACATGATGGTGGCAACCATTGAGAAAGAAAGTTTCCAGGTATTTGTGGAATCTACTTTATATCTACATGTGTGTATATATTTATACGCTTATACATATGGCATGTTTTTCCCATAATCAATACACTGTAGCACACGTGTCTTCCATGTAATGACAAGATTGTAGCACATTAGATATCAGGGATTATTGGCCTTAATTCAGTGTTGATAATTTTTCAAAGATTTAATATTTTTGGATACACTTTTAAAATATATTTTTTTCAAAATATTAAAATATAAAAATAAATATGTATTAAAAAACAAGAACTATATCAATATATTAAACAATCTTAAATTATTAATATATTAAAATATTTTTTTCCTAATACTACACGTTTCTAAAAGTTATCCAAAAATATAAAATGATTTGAAAAGCTGATCCAAATATATTAAATTAATTAAAGTGTTCTAAAGCTTTAGAGACACTCACACCAAGAGCAGTTTGGCAGTATAATGGAATGAGGACCCAAAAATAATGTCAGTGTTACCACTAGAATACACTGCAGTAGGAATAGTGCTTACAGTGTCCCCTTACCTGATTTAGATATTGCAGTTTATTTTCAACATGCTCTCTAAATAAATACTCAAAAGTATTTTTTGAAAACAAAAAGAGCATAAATCTACACATCACTTTTTAGAATTAGCACGTTTATGGACTTTGACTCATGCTGATGGAGATGTTTGTATTGTGAACTCATTGGCATAATTAAAACAGTATCTATTTAGTGAACCATATTCTATACAGTATTGTAGCTTTTTTTTGTTGCATCCTTTTCAAGGCTAATGGATACATAGGCACAGAGCTTTCACTCCTCGATCCAACGTGCAGAGCAACAGAAAATGGCACTCATTTTATCTTAAAGTCCTCACTGACCGGATGTGGAACACAGCATAACATTGACGACTCAATAAACATTGTTTACTACAACACTGTAAGTAGATTAATGGGATTTTAGAAGCCAACATGGCAGTTCTTAAATGTACACCATAAATGCAGCTGGGTCAAATAGCAGTGCAGCTGCATCAATAATTACTTGGTCTTTAAGGCAAAATAGTTCAGATAAAGATTCTTCTTTAAATTTGTTTCTGTTGGATATTGCATTAGTAAGGTGAAAAGTGATCACGGAACTATATAAAGATAGCTCAGAATGATACATGCTTGTGTGCATTTGATGTTATGCAGAATATCCGATTCAGTTAGGTTCAGGATGTTGGAGAACGTACTTACAGTGCTCAGATAATTATCTGCCGACGGCAATTTTTGCTTTTTCAATTAGCAAAAGTATTATCATTAAAATAAAATACATCAAAGAGGGCTACTAAAATAAGATGGGAATTCGTTGTCACTTAAATGATTTTAAACACAATTGCAGGGAATAGGAAGAAATCACCAAGACTATACGTACCCAAACCTAACGTTTTTTTTGGGTAGCTAAAATGTTTGAGGCACGTAAAATGAGATTATGTTGATTACATTGCCAAACTAAAAAAATTGCACCCTTTTATGATTGAACTTGTTTTTGGATATTGTGGCAGTATTTTGTTGGCCCATACGCATATTTAAGCAATGTTGCCAAATATTGGGTCTTGCGCATTGGCATCGGTGACTACTAGTTTCTCGCATCCTTTTTCACTGAAAGCTAGACTTTCAGCAATCACACTTAACTAGCCCACGTTACTAAAAAGGACTGTCCAAACTGTACTTTATCATACTCCTGTGATCTCTAAATGAGACCCTTAAATACAGCCTCAATCATTCGCTTGACAACCGTATTCTCACATAATGGGCCTGTTTCCTCCCTTGAGCACGGTCTCTAGGTATAAAAACATATGTTCCGGTTTCCTTGCCTGATTCTCTGGTTTCCACAGTCTATTTAAAAAGCTGGCTAGCTTCTGGTGGTGGTGCTGTTTTTCTGTTGATCAGTGCAGTTGTTTATTAAGTTAGGTTTCCTAGCTAAAATTAATATCCTGAAAGGAAAAGCAATCAGGTTGTTTGCTGCAATTGTGTTATATTTTTCTTTTCATCAGAAAGCTGTTTTGTTTTTTTAAAAGCAGTTGCACTGACAGCTTTTCCTGTGATGTTACAGATTGTTATTCAGCTGTCCCCAGCCACTGAGGGAAGTGGCTGGAGCAGTGATTACGAGGATATGGAATCTGGAGATAGCCCTTTTCCGGGAGACACAGATGAAACTGAAATAGGTCTTCCCTACTTCAAGAGGCCTGAAATTGTGGTGGTATGTTCAATCTAGAAGGCAAGATCTCTAACAAAACAATGCAATGTATGTAGGTCTATATGTGATACAACCATCAATGATATTTGGTCTGATTCATTCTGGGTTCCTTACTGGGTCTTTGTTTTTTGTTATTTCAAAGACCCAACCCTCCGAACAAAGGGTTTAGCATAGAAGAACAGGTTTATCGATTAGAAGTGGTAAATACTTCCCATAGGTAGATCAGTGAATCCAGGGATCTTTATTCTGAAAATATTAAATCTATATTATTCAAACATATATCACGACACACACAATTAAAAGTTGTCAATGTTACGCTGTATTCTACATCCAATCCATGGGATCAACAAGGTAAAATATATTTTCTTTTCTCTTGTATAATTAGAAGTGTGTGGTTTTCTTTATTTGTTTATATTAAATCAGATTGTGTTATATTATTAAAGTTTATAATACAATGTAATACATTGTTTATAGACACAGGTATTTGTAAAGTGCACCATGTTGGATTTATGTACCATATATGAAGAGTGTCCTTTAAAGATCGTACAGTGACGGACATATTTATTTGTGGTTTTATAATTTAAGTATTAATATCCTTTAGTCAGTTCACCTGTCTGTACTGTAAAATCATACCCAATATGTTTTTCGCCCAAACTTCCTGTCACTTGTTCATGCCCTTTCCTTTCAGCAGCTCTGAATGTTATGAGTATAAGTGTCCATGTTTATTGAGCTCCATGACAATAAAACATAAAATAATGTGTGTTTAAATGCCCATGAATATATATGAAAGTTATTTTGTTGAATAAAATTTTTGATCTTTATTGGTTAGAATATTGTTTTTTAATAGATTATCAATGCATCTAAAAATTCACGTAACACAGACAACCTTCTTTCTCTATAAAATAAATTTGGAAAACATCCAAATATATTATTTTCACCTTTTAAAAAAAAAATATGCTCATTTTGTCTCCTTAGTTCAACTGTACAGTGCCACAGGATACAGAAACTTCTCTAGACCTGTTTCCGGATGGATCTCTACATTCCGTCATGAGCAATGTCACTTTTAATATGGACCTCTACAAAACAGATTTGTTCCTGACCCCAACTCAGAAATTCTTTTCTGTTGCAGAAAATGGACAGGTTTACGTAGAGGTAACAAATGATTAACAATGATTCTTAAATCTATCTCTAGATCAGGAAAGAGGTCAAAAAGCACTCAGCAGCTACCCTTTTTCTGCAACATACTTCTCACAAGATCATTTCCAATACAGATGCATATAGTAAAATGGAAACATTACAGTCATTTCCCCGTATTATGAGTGTCAAGTATATTTTTTTGTAAACAAAAATCCTAGATACATATTTTTAAACATGTATACTATTTCTGTGGAAAACACTCAAATTCTTTAAATCAGGAAGGCAGCACGATTTGGTGATACCGTATTGGTTTCCGGGGTGTAGTCAATTTCTGATATCAAACCTCATCCATGTTGTTTTATTACGCAGGGCTGGAAGGTCATTTGCATGAGCTGGAAAGATAAAAATGTTAACTCAGTCACATAGAGAAGTGAATTGTAAAACAACAGGAATACCCTGTAAATACGCACTCGCTTATATGAAACAGAAAACTACATTACATCACGTATGGCTGTATTTAAATAATTTTGACAGTGGATTTACTTTAAGCAGTTCCAGACCCTCTAGAGCTCCCAGAGGAACACCACTTGTAACCTTATCTCTCCCTGATTGTATTACATGGATCAAATATCTGTCTTGTGTTTTTCAAGAAATGCTTTACCTACTAAACTATTTAGGGATCCTGGCCCTAGGGATGAGTTTTTGTTTGTTTTGAATATTATCAATGCCTTTGCCAAAATGGTGACATTGGCTGCAGATTTAATGTATAAGTAACTATGTGACAATCCCATAACGATCTTTATAGGTTTGTTTTAGGCATGCTGTACTAGTTAAAAATTTGATTATTTAACATAACCTGTATTTTTGTTAATAAGTTATATTTTATATACAATGGATCATCAGGTTCCATGTTCAGTTCATTGGTTCTGATACTCAGTGACTTACTTTCGCAGAAAAGTCAACTTTATTTCTGCGATCATCAATATTTTATTGGATGCAGGCATAAGAGGCCACACTAGGAAACAGGATCTACCAATATTAAGTTACAGATCTTAATAATCTGCTCGATACCGATAAATATTTAGAATGATTTCACTAAAACTTAGGCAGGATGTACCTGTGTTTGCTTTTCCAGAATTTAAATCTCCTCTAGCCCAGATTAAACCGTTAACTAATTGGCATTGGGCATCCACAGGAGGAGAAACTAATAGGCATTTATTTCAAACATTCACTGGATTATGCAATCAGATATTCTCCAAGTTACTCAAATGTTCAACAATCATTAATCTTGTAACAGCTGCTAGACCACTTTCTTTAATGTGCAATGGGCTGCTGTACAAACTTAAAATGAAACTGCTGCCCTTCAGTGTCCCACATTTATGTAGACCTCCTTAGCAGTGGATCACTGTTGTAAAACTAAAACAAAAATAGGGGTTGTGATCCAAAAGAGCCTTTTTGGGTCTCGCCAGGATGGTGCTGGTTCTGGTTTAGAAGTTTAAAGGAACTCTATAGGGTCAGGAACACAAACATGTATTCCTATAGTGTAAAAACCACCATCTAGCCCCCTGTTCTGGGGCAGAGTCAGCACAAGTCAAACACAGCCCTAGCCAATCAGCATCTACTCATAGAGATACATTGAATCAATGCATCTTTATGAGGAAAGTTCAGTGTCTGAATGCAGAGGGTGGAGACACTGAATGACAGTGGTGCTCACTCTGCAGCACCGCCCCAGGAAGTAGCTTTAGCAGAAGTGGCAAGTGGAGTTATCCCTAGGCTGTAATGTAAACAATGTATTTTCTCTGAAAAGACAGTGTTTACAGCAAAAAGCCTGAAGGGAATGATTCTACTCACCAGAACAAATGCAATAAGCTGTAGTTGTTCTGGTGACTGTAGTGTCCTTTAAGTCTTTCTGTCAGTGTGTATGTATGTATGTGTATATACACACTCAATAAATCTATATTTAAATCTATATTTATACAGATAAATCTGAGAACCAAAAATGACTGTCAGTCATATCTACTAAATGTAATAAATGTAGATGCCTTAAAAAAGACAGAAAAACAAAAACACACTAATGTTGAAATGTTTTGTTTGCAGGTTTCAGTAACAAAAGCAGACAAGGATCTGGGATTTGCCATACAGACCTGCTTTATATCTCAACACTCCAGTCCTGACATCATGTCAGAATATACAATCATAGAGAACATCTGTCCTAAAGATGAGTCAGTGAAATTTTACAAGGTTAAACGGATGAGTTTCCCTACTCTACAGGAACAAACGGACAAGAAGAGATTCAGCTTCATGTTTAAACCCATGTTTAACACGTCTCTGCTCTTTCTGCACTGCGACGTTACCTTGTGCTCTACTAATGACAGAGAGGTGGATGGCCTTCTCAAGGTGAGGAATTTTTGTTTTCGATTAACACAACCAGCTGTCAGTATCTTTTTTTGAGTTGGAGATTAATGCCAACGGAAACGACATGTAATATATGTAATATAAATGCCGCAAGGTCAATTACCGGTTAGTAAGACCATGCATTACAGAACCCACTCACAGTAACCCAAGCCAACTGATAACCTTGTATAGAAGAAGGTATCAAATCATTTCCTAATTTATTTAGTTCAAGAGTGGCCAAAATACGACCTTAGCAGCATCAAGAGGTTTTAGTTATATACAAGCTAGGTGGTCAGATTTTGGCAATCCCTGCTTCAGTATGTTTGAAAATATTTTTAAAAAAATCATGCTGCTACACAACATATGCATGTTTAGTTTTTATTTAAAACAGAACTATTGCATTCCTTCACTATTCGTAGATTTGATACCGTGGTCAAAGAACAAAGGACAAATTCACAATTTAAAGTTAGCAAAATATAAAAATAAATCTTATATTATATGTAAATTACAATCCGGTATTTTTTACCAATCCTCTTTGGATTGTAATCACTTCGACATCAGTAATGGGCCATCGACTGCCATTAGCATGTCAATAAATATAGTGTATAAGATTGTGAGTCACCCCAAAGCTTGATGACATTTTTTTTAAGGAGTTACCAGTAATCACAACATTACTAGTGCCAAACCTTTCAAAAACATCTGCAACTATAAGCTCTGAAGCTGTCTTTAGTTTTATGGTGCCTTGACTGTCCTTTTATTTATTTTTTCATTCTTTATTTTATTGAGGCATTTAAGTGATACATTTCAAACTATAACAGTGGGAGTTCACATGAGCCTTGAACGCAGTCAAGGAGAATAAACTCCAGGAAAATGTAGCCTCCTTTTTGTTTTTTGTAACAGTTATCAGTGGCGGCTCTAGACTTTGTGAGGCCTTAGGTGAAACTCAAACATGAGGCCCCCACTAATACCTAAAGTTAAAAATAGGGGTTGCATTGTGTGTATAAGGTGCTGTTTGGGTATTTAAGGACAAGCTTGCAGCACTGGATACAGATAGCTAGTCTTTGTATTCATTGTTCAAAGGCTTGCTATGTTGCGGCTCCCTGTGCCGCGGCATTGTGATCTCTCTGACTGTATCTATGGCATAATATGCAAACTAACTTAATTTGCAATAAACAAATTCAATTAACAATTATGCCAATCGTTTATACATGACTGAGGGGTATGGTTACATAGCCTTGCAGTCGTATATACATAAGTGGCGGTGTATGTATATATGACTGTATCTGACATTGTCTACCTATGTGTGACAGGGTTTGGGGTGAGTGTTGCACAGTTGGAGTATAGGATTGTAAGAGTTTATGTAATAGGGTGAGTGTGGCAGGGTGAAGGGGGTGAGTGGGACAGACTGATAGAGGATGAGTGACAGGGTCGGGGGGTGAGTGTGACAGTGCAAGAGAAGGTGAGTCTGACAGGGCAGAGGGTGGTGGGGTGGCTGGGTGGCTGGGGCAGAAGGGTGGTAGGAGTGGCTGGGGCAGAGGGTGTCTGGGGCAGAGGGTGGTGGGGTGGCGTGGGCAGAGGGTGGTAGGAGGGCAGGGTGGGGAGCGGAGGCATAAATACCTTAGGATTAACTTATTCCCTGGTAGTCCAGTGGGCGGCCAGGCTGTATCCCTGGTGGTCCGGTGGGCTTCCTTTACGGTCTGCAGCTCCGCCGGGTAAGTTTAGTCTCGCTATCTCAGCCAGTCAGAGCGGTGCCGTGGTAACCCGCGGCAACGCTCTGATTGGGTGAGATCGAGAGACCCCCTCAGTCTGCAGCTCTGCACTCGGCGGAGCTGCAGACAGGCTGGCTCTCTCCCAGGCAGGCATAGGAGGGTCAGCGCACCCGGCGGGTCCTCGCACCTCTCTCCTGGGCATGCATAAGAGGGGCCACTGCCCTAAGGCGATTTAGGCGGCCGCGAGGCCCTCATCAGCGCGAGGCCTTAGGCGGCGGCCTAAATCGCCTAATTAGAGAGCCGCCTCATAGAAACGTAGAAACATAGAATGTGACGGCAGATAAGAACCATTCGGCCCACCTAGTCTGCCCAATTTTCTAAATACTTTCATTAGTCCCTAGCCTTATCTTATAGTTAGGATAGCCTTATGCCTATCCCACGCATGCTTAAACTCCTTTACTGTGTTAACCTCTACCACAGGTATAATAGAACATTGCATGTGCAGTATTCAAGCATTTAAAGACATAAGATGATAATATGCACTGTATGTGATACGACAGGCATGGCATCATACACGTCAGGTATGAACTATATGCCAGAACATAATAAATATATGCTGTCATGTTAACCGCAGGCTAGGTAACAGGCTATATAACATTTTCTTACTCTCAGATAAAACATCTGGGCCAAGCCAAGTAACATTATGAACATTATGAAATAAAATCAGGCAATGTATAGGCATTTTAGGGGACATGGCACCTCAGGGTGTGCTAAACATAGTGGATTATAACCTCTGCAGCATAATACACTTTGGGTGTTGCGGGTATGTTATACTCTGCAGGGGGTATGTGTCACGGCTACTATGCTTTGGTGGTAAGTGCAGCCTACATGTGGAGCAGGGTTAGTGAATAATAATAAGTGTGTCTCTCCTGCCCCAATGTCCCAGACCATTACCCTATGCCCATGCATATTTTCATGGTGGTGTTCGATGACAGTGTCCCAGCTGTCCTGTGTCGGCCACTGGGCCGGCCCTTCTCCTTCACCAGGGCCCTTGTGCAGTTTCTTCAGCTCTGATCGGTGATGGCTCTGCAAGCGCAGTCTCGGGCGGCTTTCAAGTGAGGGCGCACCATCCAGACATGCGGGGCATGCCGGGTTCTTCTCCAGTTACCTCTCTTTTCTACTCTGGCGGGTTTTGATACTTGTTGAGTGTCCCATTTGTTAGGGTGGTTGTTTGGGTCGTTCCTTGCGGCCTTTGCTTGTTCTGGAGGGCCATAGGCAGGTCTGTAATGGGAGCTCTTGTGTTGGCAGTGTCCGGCTGCCTTCCTGCGCTTCTCTGTTGTCCTCAGCTTTGAGTTACCTTGCTTTATGCTCTGCCCGGCGTGTACCTTGGTTTTGGAACCCTGCAGCTTGCGGGGAGCCCTCTGGGTGTTTGGGCGGCGAAGCAGGTGTACCTCTGTAGTGGTCCCGTTTTCGGGGTGGACCCGGCGTGCAGCCTCTGGTGCGTGCCTCTGCTTTTCATGCGGGGTTCGGGAGGTAGGTTTACTCTGTAGTCGCTTCCAGAAGGCCCTGCAGAGTTGGTCAAACCGGGCTTCTGTGGCGTGAGCAGGACATGGCTTGGTGGCCATCTTGGGTGCCTCTTGTGATTTGCAGCCGGACTGCAGTTCCCCTTGTGGTGGGTAAATCGGAGTCACCTGCGGGGACCGGGATATCCCCCGCCGGTCCATAGGGGGGGGCAGCAGGGGAGCAGGAGAGCTGCTTTGCGGTGCCAGCCCCGCGCCGGGAGAGCAGCCGCCTCCCTCGGCGATTAGGCTGCTGTCCGTGCTAGGCCACAGGTGCGAATCCCGGCAAACCAGCTTGAATTGCTTCATGTGTGGTATCAAACTGCTCAGTTTAACTTTGTGTACCCGTCGGTAGCTCATTTGATCACTTTTCTAGGCTTATTTGTGTCGTTACATTGAGTTAAAGCTTGTGCAGAGCAGGAGCTGTGCTTGAGTGCTTCTGCTCAGCCCTGCATTCAGGCCCCACCCCCTTGACTGTCCTTTTAAACCCACCATTTTGCATATTTAAATTGCTAGATTCTCTCTGAGAACAATGAGCTGTTTAACACTACAGTGCGAAAGGATCCCTAAAATAAGTGGCTACACACTCCTCTACCTCAAAAATGCAAAGCAATTCAAAACAGAGGTATGTAAGAAAATATAGGTTTAAATATTCACAATGAAAGCCCATATATGTCACAGCCCTTCTTCAAATGGTTTATTAATAATATGGTATAGACCCAATGGTAGCAGCTTCAGTGATAAATACAGCAAACGCCAAATAGTATAAAACACTGCATATAAAACTGTTTTGCAAATTTATTGGTAACATAAAATCATTGTATAATACACTCAAACAACAAATACACACGGACACCCGTGAGAAAAAGTGATAAAACAAAAAAACTTAACTGATGGGTACACTGCTTCCCAAGGTTATTTCCCAGCTGATAACCATATAACAAGACTGTATAATTGATAGGATATTTTGGGATTCTGCTAGTGTACCTACAATAGAGGACAAAACATAGTGCAAATATTGCTAAACACTATAAAACATCTGGTGATTAATATGCACTCACATATTCCAAAAAGTTAAGCGTATTATGGGTGCCTCCCCTCGATGTAAATGGGGGGTTGTCGAGGGGAGGCACCCATAATACGCTTAACTTTTTGGAATATGTGAGTGCATATTAATCACCAGATGTTTTATAGTGTTTAGCAATATTTGCAATATGTTTTGTCCTCTATTGTAGGTACACTAGCAGAATCCCAAAATATCCTATCAATTATACAGTATAATACACTCAAATTTGAAAAAGCAAAGATAGATAAAATTGGCCACAGCCTCTCACCCAATGCATTTTAGCTGTATTAGACTTTTTCAAGGGAACGTAAAAGGCTAATATAGACAAAATGCGTAAAGTGAGAGGCTCAGGCTGATTTCATTTTCCTTTTTATGTACTATAAGAATTAAGCACTCCTTGATAGTGCTTTTTAAATTACGAGTGTGATATGTAATGATATAAATTTGCAATACAGCTGCATACTAGGAGCCTTTTGGTCCTTCCTCTAATCACCAGGCCATTAAAACTGTTGTTCTACTACTCATGGGTCTATACCATACCACTGATCCATAATTTGGAGTAGTGTGGTGAACTCTTTGCTCTTTCAGTTAGAGTATTTCAATGTATAATGTTTTATATTCCTCTATGTCGAAGTGCTTTGCATTTTTGTAATGAAGGAGTGTGTAATTACTGTTTTTTTTTCAGTTCCCTTTCCATACTGTACTGTGTTGGAGTGTTTAGTTTGGTGTTTTTTAGGTAAACCATGGATAGGGAGTTGCTGGGTCTATTAAACACTTTGTGGGTGTTATTGTAACAGTTATTTCTTATTGGTAGTTAATCGAGCAATCGGCATGATAGACAGACCGCAAGTATAAATTATGCCCTGACAGGTTCTGGTCTTCGTAACAGCTACTTAACATAAGCTAAGCTAATCATTAGAAAACAGCACTCATCATATTATTACATCATTATATTATTTCGACTTTCTTTGCTTCCAAACATCTGAATGTTCTCTTTTGTCAAAAGTAGATATTGGTCCAAGTGGCTTGTCAACTTACCTCCGATAAATATTTTGACATTAGTTTATGCTGGTGTTTTTAGAGATTTTTTGGTGCAAAAAAAAGTCACTTAATTCTATAATGTTACGGGCGTGGAAAGGTAAAATACCCTTCAGTGGCCCTAAAATTGGAAAAGGTACTGGGTAACAGCATATTTCTCTAAATACTTAAGTTTGTTATACCATAGATGATTTTGTAAAGAAAATATTACAGTAATAATTTTTGAAGTTCTCCTGAGGTCAGCCTTTTCATTTTCTGTGTTTGATGATTGGGGTTTCTTTGTTTATTTTATTTGGTTTTCATTTGTGTATGTGACCTTCTTGGCAAGTTTTGTTGAGTACTATTGTTAGTCTCCAGCGTATACAATGTCAGTGTTTGTTTGTCTAGAAGTAAACAATAGCATTGGAGGACTGGCTTGTTAGAAGCCTTATTTTGTATTTTTCGATTTTCAGCTGGCCTCCTCTCCTGTAATTCTTCTCTTTTTTTTTCCTTTCTTCTTTCTCTGTTAGTTGATCATGGCATGAGAAAAAAGAAGTGCATTTGCAATTTATTCAATAAATATCAAATTGTGTTTTTTTTTTTTTCAACTTACAACATTTACACAAAAACAGCAGTGTTCGAAAATGTCAAATTTGGTTTAACCAGAGATTTTTTTCCCCTCTTCTTTTTTTACATTTTTTTTTTTTTTGGTCATAGATATGAGTCAATACTCAGTACACCGAGACTTTATATTTAGTTAATAAACCCCATTGTGATTCTGAAAGGGGAAAGCTCCAGGCCCCAACGACCATTAACAGAATTATCTTAAGTAGGTTTTCAAGCTACTACAGTCAACTAAATACCTTGCCAAGGATCAGTGTCACGTTACTTGTGTTCCAAAGTGTTTTTGACTCACTTGTGTAACAAGAAACACAAGTGGGAGATTAAATCACATAGCTTGCACCAATTCTACAGGGACTTGTCCTGTAAATGGATGAAACTGCAGCTCCCGCTGTAATGTTATTGCACCATTCATCTTGTTCTTTATGTATATGTTAAGCACATTTTTCTTGGATACAATCAGCGCAGCGTTAACAGGACATTAATCCTGCATTGTTTAGTGGTATATTGTAAATGCAAGGTATTTTAGAGTTTGACGTATAAAAAGTGTTGCTAGATAGGCAATGCTTTGTTATGCACTAGATTTACACTCAAATTGTCCCTCTTTTGGAACGATACCAATCTAAATTTTGTGCTACATTTGCTGCATCTCTCTTTAACCCCTTAAGGACACGTGACATGTCATGATTCCCTTTTATTCCAGAAATTTGGTCCTTAAGGGGTTAAATATGTGTTAGAACAATCTGATTTTGGGACAGATATCACTAATTTGATATTGGGTCCCGGACATTGGCAGTACGTCTTAAGCTCATTTATACATTCTCTGTGAATACTCTCCTGTCAGCCACTCTCCAGAAAATAGAAAATGTCCCTCTTTGTTCGTTAGAAACATTTCTGTTATTTTGTTCATTTATCATACGTTACTAAGCCCTAGCTGGAAGCTGGTATGCCTCCTGCACTTTCCAGCTCTAAAAGGATTAAAGCTTTATATATATATTTTTTTGTTCTTAACTGCATCCCTTTCTTGCCCAGCGCGCTGTACCAGGGTCAGGCTGATAGTGTTATGTTTATTTCCTAAGATATCATGTTCTTAATTCAATTGCTGACTTTGCTTCTTTCTGTTACAGTGCATTGACCCTGACGAAGCGTGCACGTCCCTCAATTTGAAAATGATCATGGCTATGATGCACAATAAGAAGACATTTACTAAACCTTTGGCAGTAATTACAAGTGATTCAGAAGGTAATTTGAGATTGTAACCTTTGCAACAGTAAAACAGTTCCTTTATAAATTAGGAACATGATGTATTATTGAAGACATTTACTAAACCTTTGGCAGTACATTACAAGTGATTCAGAAGGTAATTTGAGATTGTAACCTTTGCAACAGTAAAACATGTTCCTTTATAAATTAGGAACATGATGTATTATTGTCTAAAATCATATTTAACAGATATTATTTATCATACATTTAATATATTTAATATAGTTTTTTTTGCTCATCACCTCGGTGATCTGTTATACTCAAATGTATACATCAGCAGTCTCAGCAAAAGTTATAGGATGGTATAACATGCCTAAAATATTTGGGCCATAGGATTTAGCTTGATGTAAACATTTCAGTTCCAAAGATATCCTTAAATGGGGATGAGATTGAATTTTGCTTAGAACAATCTGCAAGAGCATATGCCATGCTACAGGAGCATTGAAACAAAAAATGACTATTGTACAGTATTACAATAATTACTTTACATTCTTGTTTTCTACATGCTATTCTTAACATATTAACCATACAACACACGTCGTATAAACTGTTGGTTCTTGTAGATGTATAAACATCACGCAGTCTGATGTATAGTGCTGTACACTGCAGAACTAGCACAGAGGGAAATGAGACATTAAAATAACAGAAAAAGGTTTTTTTTAGTCTCACAACTGAACTGTCAAAGGGACAAGTCTGGTTAGAGTAGACCCATTATATAGATATTGCATTTATAACATACAATACATTTTATATGATTAAAATAAATCAAAAGATACTCATATTTGAAGATCTAGATCTTCCTGTAAATAACCAGGCTTTGTAGTTTCTGCCATGAGCTCTGTCCACTCTAGGAAGTAACTCAATAATGATTCTTGTCCTTTAAATTGTTATAGCAGTATTGAACTTATCACTTAAAGGGATACTGTGATGCCAGGAATACAAAGCTGGATTCCTAGCACTACCGATCCATCTGCCTCCCCCCTCCCTTGCACCCCCAGTTAATAAAGGGTTAAAAAACCTTTATCTGTGTGAATGTCAGTGTGTGTCTATGAGTGAGTCAGTGATTGTGTGTCTCTGTCAGATCGTGTCAAATCAGTGAGTGTGTGTGTATGTCAGTGTATGTGAGAGTGTGTTAGTCTTTAACAGAAAGAGGTGTGGCCTTGGCAGGAAGGGGTGGGGTAAATTTAAATTTGGGGGCGCCTGACTTCCGTCATGCCTAGGGCAGCACAGATCCAAAATACACCTTTGCACAGCACCCAGCCCACTTCAATGAGCTGAAGTGATCTGGGTGCCTACAGTGTCCCTTTGAATGTGCTACAGTTTATGGGCACAATGGATGTTTCTGGAAGTTGTTTTTAAGAAAGAAAGAAAATAAATTCTGCTTGTTGTTTAACCCATTAAAAGTGCTCATCTCCCTCCATGTGAAGCCTGCTATTGAAGTGGTAACAAAAGTTCTTTAGTTCCTTATGAAAATGTTTTAGTGTCAGTCTTGCATTTCATAATGGAGTAATTTTTAATGGTTTAAGGGCTAGGCGGAGCATCTAAACTGTAACTATGCAGTTTGTTTTTATTGAAACCCATGCCAAAAGCGCTAAGAAGATGTCCCCAAAGCGTTATATACATGCATGGAAGAATTGTACACGTGATATCTTTACTAAAGGACTGAGATTAGTGGTGTTGTTGATCGGAGGGTGACATGGTGATAGCTTTGTTCAGGAAAGAATGTAACTGTGCGAGATAGGGATATTATGAATTCCAGACTGCAACATCTCCGTCTGAAGCCTTATCTCGTTGTTTAACGAGTAAAAGACAACTCCTGCCATGAATATTTTTAAGCACGTATTATGGTAAATCTCTATATTGGAATTGCTGGAAAAAAACCAAAAACGTATTTTCCCGTAATATTCCAGCTTAAGTTTAGTCTATAAAGATGTGATTATTTACATTAATGTAACCCAGTGTGATGTTATCATCATCCTTAATTATTAGGAACATAAAACTAAAGTTAATATAGACTGCAGAGTCACCATTATTCCTCCACTGATGACTGGCATGCTCAGGGAGTGGCTATTGCTTTGAGACCATCCTTGATTCCCTATTGAGAGAATATTGTGCATTAAAGTGTCACTGTCACAGTCTGGTGACTGTGCAGAATTCGCAAAGACCCCTGATGCTGACATAACTTTTTCTCAGTATATCTTTGGATATCTTTATCAAATACTCATTTTTGGGGGGGGGGAAGGTTGACAGTTCCACATTAAGGAACATGACTTCCCACGTACAAAACTGGCTAACACACAGTACAACAGGTAGTACTTTCATTCAGGAAATTGAAAACCAATTTATGTTGCACATTCATGTACAAGCAACTTCCATTTTGTTCCTGTGGGGAGATGCACAGATGGACCACTGAGCATACACTTATACACCTGATACAGTCTGTCTAATAAGACAGAAGTAATTATGTGTTTGGTAAGGCTGCCTTACCACCTAGATGTGCATGAATGACTCCACACTGTAGGGCAACAGCCTGTCATGCCAGTTATCAGCCATGTTTCATGCACATCACTTGTTTCATAAATGGTTTCTAACTCATGACATCTGTTTTCTGTAATTCCCCTATTCATAAAAATAATCTTGTTCATTTAAAGAAAGTCAATAATTGTAATTTTATGGGAAACATATATATTTCCTATTCTTTCCAGGGTACGCCCAAGCACTTCTAGAGAAAAACCTGTATCATAGATAACTGTTGTAGATTAGTCATCTCAAGGGCCAACATTCATGGAAGCCATAGTAAAAAGCAGCTCAAGTGTTAACACTGTGTAACACTGAGCTGTATAGTTAGATGTTCTGTGACTGACAAGTTTCTAAACATTTTTTTTCAAATTATATTTATGAAACATTTTGAATTTTTTTTTCCCCCCAGAAAAACAATTAAGAATGAGGAGTTCTAAGGGAGGGGAGAATAAAAAATACTAGCTCATACTAGCTATACATGCATAATACATTTCCCGGACATGTATCGAAAAATAATATACCAGAAAAATAGACTGAATAATTTGAAAAAAATCAATATTTCTAATGAAAAGGTCCCAGCAATACTAGTCTGCATGCAGTGTTACCTTCCCAAAGTATGGACAGAAAAAAATCCTCCCAACGGTTTGGCTGCTAGTATTCTTTTTCACGGGATCCTTTGCGAAATTACATATTTAAATCAATATTTACATATGACCTAATTGATCACTTTGCTCAGTAGGAAGGCTGAAAATGTAGAAATGTTAGTCATTACTATTAGCTAGCATATGGTGCTTCACCATATTGCTGGAGAAAATGTTTTTAATGTTCTATATATTTATGTATATATTTTCAACCTGTGTAACTGCAGCTTTTTATTTTCAACAGATTCTGTAAATATAAACTCTAAAAGTGGCCCACCAGGTACGTACATTAATAACTATACCTTCATTATACCTGTCATATGTCATGAATCATATAAAAAATAATTGCCCTTAAAGGGAAACATAACTTCCTAGGATTTTTAATAATATGTTTACTTATTGCTAACATTTAACAAATATGCCTCTTTTGGGGTCCGAAAAAATATAATATATTAATAGAAAAATAGAAATCCAGACCTCTTTATCCTGCTACTGGAAGGCTGCATTTTGACTCGCTGTCAGTCATTACTAAGTTCCATCCTTTGCAAGTGGCAGTAAGCATAGAGGAGGCATGCAGAGAACTGTAGAAACAGAAATAATGTTGCTAGATTTTTCCCTCATGCCCTGGTTATGCCAGATCTAAACTGGATTATGATGTGATTTGCAAGATCTGAATTATATTATTTGCTAAATATAAATCAAAATAATATGCAAAATAGGTTAATGCACTTTATCTTTATTTTCAATGTTTTACTGAATGGTGCAAAATTTCAGAGAAGTGTCAGATCCCCTAAATCACAGGAAATGTAGTTCACGAACATCTGGGGTGGCAGAGTTAACTATCACCTAGTAAAAGTAACTGTCAGTTGTATCATTTTTACGTTGTGCCTTGTTAGTTAAAAAATAAATCAGCTTTCCGTTTCTTATCTCCATACTCCACTGCTGTCCTCTGTATTACCAGAATGAAACGGATATACCTAATTTAATAAGAATGAATACCTCAAGGGTTTTCAATGAATAGAACCATATTCGTGTATATCAATAAAGGGTGTCTCTGTGACTATTTTCAAGTGAAGGAAGTGTATTTTTTTTTTGTCTGGAATTCATTTCAAACATTTCCATTTTTGCCAAATTTTAAGAACAATGGATTCTATTTCTGTGATTTCTGTCCTTAGCCTGACATCGCTTATTTTACAAGCGTTTCCGATCTCCACCTACAAATGGGAACAAAGCCAAATAGGTCCTTGTAGGTTACAAAATAAAGTTGGCTGAAATGGCAGTACATATGTAGAAATAAGTGATATTTCCTTAAATCTTGGTAATACTGTCAGAGCAGTATTAAAAGGCCACTGCAGTTAAGTGCCTCTGCAAAAAAGCATTCTTCATCATCTTGAATTGTTCTACCTGGTTCTCAAAGCCCCTGATTTGTAACATCTACGTGGTAGAGCCATGCTACCCAGGGCACGTTAATCCTTTTAGTTACTGTGATTTATTGTTATTCCTAAAATAAGGATAAAAAGAACAACTATTTCATTGTAAATTTGTCTTATGTTCAGCCAGTGTACATCATGACACAAATACTGTTAAAAATAATAATAATAATAAAAATATATATATGTATATATATATAAGATTGTGTTCATTTTAAATATTTTATTTTATTTTTTTCCACTAGTCATCTTCTACGGTCTGGATACACCAACTGTAGTAGGGATTGCGTTTGCAGGATTCATCATCGGCGCACTTCTGACAGGAGCATTGTGGTACATTTATTCTCATACAGGTAGGTCTTGTAATAATATATTAACATATGTTAATTAATATTACCATATATCAAGGAGAAGAACTATGTTTGAGAAGCACTGTTTTCTAGCGGGATCAGATGACTTAAACATAAATATATATGTCTGTCTAATTTGTTTGATGAAGCAGATTTTATTGTAAATGATTGCAGCTGCATTTCATTCGTGATACGAACAGGGGCGGGCCAACAACTCATGAGGCCTCCAGGCAATAGGAGATCATTGGACTCCCCTGTGCCCACCAACTTGCAAGCTAAACCTATGTAAGCCCCAACCACATGTACATCTTTGTATTACAGAAAATGTTTTAATGTTGGAGGCAGGGGTCTAGTTAGAGTAGCTGTAGTGTGGTGGTCTGGAACTGTTGTAAGGGAAAAGGGGCTGAGGTGTTTGCTTAGAGGCTGAAGTGTGGAGGTGTTGTAGGGGGGATACGTGTTTTGTGGGGGTTGGGTGGTTAGAGGCTGTAATGAAACATAAGAGCTATAGTGGGGTGATAGGGGCTGGCAGGAGGGGTAGTTGCTGGAGACAGGTGCTGTGTTGAAGTTGAGAGATGTAAATGGGGTTAAGGTCTTTAGTAGGTATGGAAAAGGCTGTAGAGGGGGTACAGGGCTGTAGTGAAGAGACAGGAGCTCTAATAGAAAATAAGGGCAGTAGTGGTGCGGTAGAGGCTGTAGTGAGGAAATTGGGGTTGTAATGAGAGTATAAGGGCTGTAGTGATGATTAGCATTATAGGGCACTATTTTATAAACCTTGTTCCTCATTAAACTTCACAACCACAAATAAAATAATAACAATAAAAAATAGTAATAAAAAATTAAAAATTAGAAGTTATTATGATGAATCTTATCTAGTTTAGCCGCTCTGCTGCTTCTCTTGCCCTTCCCTGAAATGCGGGCAGAGCTCGCCTCATATCTGATTTCAGAATGCTAGCACTGCTTGGAAAATTGCCGGGGCTGGACACTTGTCACATTTAAAGATGGCTGCCCAACATCCTTTTGGTTGGTGCAGCTCCTCAAGCTATGGTGCTGCATGGAGGGTCTTTTTGGCTAACTGTATTTAAGGAGATGGACAGGGCCCTACTGTCACAGGGGAATAAAAAGCTGGCCAGATGGCACTTATTCAATTTAAAGATGCCACCCCCCCAGTAAGTGAGCATGGCGGTTGGCCCACATGGGGGGGCACCGAGCCACGTAACCCAGCAGGGGCAGGATAGGCCCCTCTCTTGCTCGGGCACTACCCAAGTGCACAAATGGTCAGTCTGCCCCTAGATACAAATATTCAGTGTTTTATATTTCTAAGCAGCTCTACAGTCAATTTTACATTTGGAAATTCAAGTCTAGGGTGTCATGGCTTCACAAAATGGTGGACTATAATGCTGCTATAATGTTTCTTCCGTATGTGCACATGTTCCAGTTGTATTTTAATATACTCAAATGTCAGGACTAGGGGCTAGGACTCTGGGCACTTGTCAGGTATGTGTATTTAGCTTTATTGCATATAATTATTAGCATACAATACAACTATCCTGTCTTTTGGTTATATATTGTTTAACCAAACCTTACAGAAGGAAATGCTTACAACAGACAGTTCTGAATTCTTTCTTTTTTTTTCCTAACAAATAATTTTGTATTAAGTGGTTTCAGTGTCGCAATTTCACAGTTCATTTTTGGGCTGATGCACTGTGCTGACTTCACTGCAAATAAAACATAATTCTGGACATATTTTGTTTTAATTCCAATCCTACAAAGACAGCTGCAAACATTATTGCATTTAGCCGTCCTTTCCATCCTTATCATGTACTGTCTTGTCCCAGACTTTGTTCAATTTTTCATCAAGATGCTTTCAAACACAAGTTCTGGAACAATTTCAGCATTCTTTTCTTGGTTTGATATGTACCCCTAACTCCTCTCTAAATAAAACAGAAAATATTGTCTATTCTGTGATGTTTGATCTTGTATGTGCAGAATGTCTACACTTTTCTTCAGCCAATCGCACGGCCAACTTCAGTTCCTACACGCCAAGAAGACTTGTATATGCAGACTTTCTACCAGACCAGAATAAACAAATTAATAGAAAATATGTCCTATATACATTCCATAATTCGACAAATAAGAAAACCAGCTTTATCCTTGTGGTTTTGGCTAGTCGGCATTCATAAAGACCCTAAATTATTTTATGCCACAAATAACTTCCCTCTGCAAAACTGGAATGAGCTATCCCGGGCTCAGATTTTATCCAATAAATTAGAACATATCATTATATTGCTACATTTTTGTATTGATTTTTCCACTCCAGTGCTTCAGTGGCAACATTATTGTACTTTAGAAAGGAACTTTGCTCAATGTTAAAAAAAAATCAAAAAAATCCTATAATTATTTCAATGTATGATTACTGAATAAATTGGAATTTGAATTTATATGTTTTGGAATTACTCCAGTAGTTGGAAATTAAATTAATTTATAATGTTAATGATGTTGGTGGTTAATGCACTCCAAGAGCATGTTAGTTGACCAAACAGTTTATTTTTACTTAAAAATAAACACAATATTATTAAGACGATGTATGTGAGCAGCAATGTAATACAAGGATTTCATAACTGGCTCTACAAAACAAAAGCAATGCTTTGGGTCTTATCTCTACTCCCAATTATGGGAGAGATGTTTATTATTTTCATGGTCTCTATTGTGTTAAACAATCAATGATTCTTATGTTTTACCATTAATACACGAATGTTGTATTTGACATCAAAACTAATCTGCTTCTTTGGGCAAAGTTACAATCCTTAGAAAAAAGTAAAAATTTCCAATAGCCACAATGGGCAGCTGTGATAGGCTGAAAGCAGTCAGCTGATGGTCTCTCTATCACTCCTCAGGCTAATGAGGAAGTGGTTATAGTGCCTAAAGTGTGCCTTTACGTCTTAATGTTATAGCGTGAAGAGTAGTGCAGGATTGCCATGTCCACTGCTAACTTAATTCTTTTGGAACAGCTATAATAAATCAGTTTTAGATTTTTATTTTTACTCCTGAAGTTATGCCAAGTCCCACATAAACCACAACAGCAAAGGAGTGATCTTGTGGTTTGTGATTTTAAAGGAGTATGCGAGGTAGAAATTTTAGTCAACTTGAGCTGCATTTTATGTTCACCAGGAAGAGAAGTTATTACATAATTTTGCTATGTATGGTGGGTGATTGAGGTTTACAAATACTGCCAGTTCTGTTTGAGAGCTCTGACTTTAGTTTAATGTCACAAGTGAGCAGGCTTTATCCGGACATTCCCTTTTAATTAGAAACATAGAATGCGACAGCAGATAAGAACCATTCGGCCCATCTAGTCTGCCCAATTTTCTAAATACTTTCATTAGTCCCTAGTCTTATCTTATAGTTAGGATAGCCTTATGCCTATCCCACGCATGCTTAAACTCCTTCACTGTGTTAACCTCTACCACTTCAGCTGGAAGACTATTCCATGCATCCACAACCCTCTCAGTAAAGTAATACTTCCTGATATTATTTTTAAACCTTGTCCCTCTAATTTAAGACTATGTGGTAGTTTTTCTTCTTTTAAATATAGTCTCCTCCTTTACTGTGTTGATTCCCTTTATGTATTTAAATGTTTCTATCATATCACCCCCCCCTGTCCGTCTCCTCCAAGCTATACATGTTAAGATCCTTTATCCTGCAATCCATGAAGCAGTTTAGTAGCCCTTCTCTGAAATCTCTCTAATATATCAATATTGTATGCAGTACTGGAGATATGGTCTCCAGTACTGCATACAATACACTAGTGTTCTGTAAAATGGCATGAGCACTTCCCTCTTTCTACTGCTAATACCTCTCCCTATACAACCAAGCATTCTGCTCTATTACCTTTAAGTCATCAGAAATAATCACCCCTAAATCATTTTCCTCCAAGCTATACATGTTAAGATCCTTTAACCTTTCCTGGTAAGTTTTATCCTGCAATCCATGAACCAGTTTAGTAGCCCTTCTCTGAACCCTCTCTAATGTATCAATATCCTTCAAAAGATACAGTCTCCAGTACTGTGTACAATACTCCAAGTGAGGTCTCACAAGTGTTCTGTACAATGGCATGAGCACTTCCCTCTTTCTACTGCTAATACCTCTCCCTATACAACCAAGCATTCTGCTAGCATTTCCTGCTGCTCTATTACATTGTCTGCCTACCTTTAAATCATCAGAAATAATCACCCCTAAATCCTTTTCCTCAGATGAATATTGTGTATTTAGGCCTGGCTGGGATCAAACCTATGTCTCCTACATCCCAGTCAGTGACCTTAGAACATGATTGGGGCACAGTTCTAAAACCGGTGTCGTCACGCTGGATACCAATAAGAAATTCCTGTAACTAGCGATGCTTTAATTGTTTTGCATCACAATATCTCTTTATCAATGATCATAACATCACAATGTCCACTACTGACCAAAAGTGGGCATTGCTTCAACTTCCTTAACATATATAGATTTAGATTTATTATGTTTACCTTTGTTAGTAATTTCTTGCACCATGACCTTTTAAAATATTAGTTGTCAACACTTTATATTATATTTAATAAACCATTTCAGTTGGAAAAAACTATTTAATTTAAGTAAATCTTTGCATCACCGCCATCACTTTCTGTTTACCCTCCCCCTTTCTCCTTGTTGAAAATGGAATCACATCTGTGCTGAAGCTCATATTTGGATCCTTTGCAAATGTTATTCAGATTGGATTTGAGTAAGTCTGGGCAGTGCACGCCATTCTCATGTTTCCACTCCATCATTCAAACGCTCTGGGATTGGATAAGTAATGATGATAGTGACTCCATAGAACGTATGCATTGCCAAGTCTTTTTTTATGCATCAGAGGGCACAGTAAGATCTTAAGTATGTTTACTGAAGTGTGAATGACATGTTACCAACCAACCCATATGTTACAGTACCAATAATAAAAAAAAATCATAAATCCTAATCTCTGCAAAACCAGATGTTTAGAACATTTATTATTAATATATAGTAGTTCAAAACAAAGTATATCCCTAACTAAAATCCAGTTTCTCATCATATGGACATTTAAACACAGATAGTGTGAATTATCAGAAAGTAGAAGTTAATTTTACATTTTAGGCCAAATTAGTTGATATAGAAAAATGTTCCCACATCTTCGTATTCAGTATTGGAATTACTGATAAGAGAGACAGTTCCATTTCTGTGACATCTTCTTTGCAGTCTTGATTTTCATTGAGACCTGTTTCTTTCCACCAGCTTGTCTGAGTGTGTTTGCAGGAACTTTTTATTTATTCATTCCTGTTTAGCTAACATATGTATAAACTGAGAGAAGATAACATCTGGGTTTTTACAATATAACATCAATTCAGTCTTTGCTTTCAATGGCCAAAGATGACAATGGGGTGACATATTGGGTATTAGACATGTGCAATTTGTAAGTCCCGAATTGCTTTTGGATTTCTCAAAAGTGGCAAAACAGGTGAGGGAGGGGAAATTAAGGTAATGATGACAGGAATCTAAGCCTAACCCTACCCCTAAGCTAACCCTGCTCCAAACTCTACCCCTAACCCTGGTAGGTTTGGGGGTAGGATTAGGGGTAGGGTTAGGGAATTTCTGAATTCCCTAAGTCCAGAATTTCAGAAGTGCCGAACTGAACCGAAGTGCTGAAGTCCCGAATTGCTGAAGTCATGAATTTCGAAAATGCCGAACCAAACCTAATTTTTTGTCCATGCACATCCCTGTTGGGTATATATGGCAACTTTTCACCCAGCTTATTTACTCCGTTATAAAATAAATCTGTCTTTTCCACTGATGCTAGATATGCATTGTGCAGATGTGAAAATGTAAAGATAGGCTAGCTTTTAAAATTACATCAATGTCTTGTTTTTCTTGATATTATTGAAATGGCAATTACATGAAACCTTCTCTTATAATATCACTGTAATTAACTTACATATCTATAGTTTTCTAGTAACCGGTGTCTTTAATTGATAGCAAAACCTTAGGACTTCTTGAATAGATCCTGGCTCATTAACCTTAAACATGTAATCCTAATACTATAGTGTTCTACTCCCTATTTAGATTATTGGAACTTCTTGCCCTTGAAGGTTAAAGCAAGCAGATATCCCTATATCCTGTGACGTGCTGGTCTCCTTGCTGCCATCTAAATCTCTTGCTGAGATCATTGATCCTGATGATCTAAACCAATACCATGCTTCCCTATAGGAAGGTTATTGTGCAAATTAGTGCCCTGCAGCAGTCAGAACTGAGCTAATCAGAATCTCCTCATAGTGATGTGTTGAATCAATACATCCCCATGTGGAGCCTTCATTGTCTCCATGCAATCTTTGCAGGACCAAAGCCAGGAAGTCAATCTAGTGGTTGCCTGAGTGGCAGCCACTAGAGGTGGTCATAGGCAGCAGAGTTAACACTGCTTTTTCTCTACAACAGTTGCGTTTGCAATGCTCTGCCTGCACAGTGTGCAGCACTGCCCCAGGAAGCACCTCAAGTAGCCATCTGAGGAATGGCCACTGCAGGTGTTCCTAGGCTGTAATGTAAACACTGCATTTTCTCTGAAACAACAGTGTTTACTGAAAAAAAAGACTACAGGGACTGACTATACTCACCAGAACAACTACATAAAGCTGTAGTTGTTCTGGTGACTATAGTGTCCCTTTAAGCTGTAGTGGTTCTGGTGATTATACTGGTTATGGCTAATGTCCATTTTCAACAGATAAGATAACACGATGAAGAATCAAGAAGAACGTTTGTCTCTGTAGAAATGTTACTATTTTGCTACATAATGTAGTATCAGAGTATTTGCTAAACACTGATGGGTAGTAAATTAAAAACAAAATGGGAAACTTTAGACCAAAATAGCTGATTTGGAGAATGTATCCAACTTAGCGGAAGCCATGCAATATTACCTAAAGTTTGCAATTTGATTTACAGTTCATGATGAGTGTGTTGTCTTGAAAATAAAGTCCTTCTTTTAATTACTGCTTGAAAAAGATCTCAGCTGAGATCGAAACATTGCATGTTTTTCCTGATTTCCCATAAATCTGCTGCATAAGTGATCCTCCTGAGTGCCTGGACTACATTTATTGTTTTTCTTTTAATTACTGCTACTTGTTTATACACCTATCGCTTTCTTTTCAATCACCAGATTATTTTCCAGCAATAGGGATACATTTTGTTACGTTACCAGTGGCAACATAGACATCTTTATATTGGCCACTTGCAATAACACATCCGTTTTTACTAATATAAAATATATATAAAATATGATAGTTTCATTAGGAATAACGGGCAATTGGGAATATTTACTGTTATTATTCACTATTGATTTAAATACATTAACATAATTATTATTGTGTTCAATGTTTCTGCCAAATGTAAAGGGGAATAAAATGCAGGTCCTGTATTTGCTGCTGACCACTCTGTTTGATTAATGAGATGTTCTGGGTAGCACTAAGTTTTCCATGGCAGAGAATTTGGTAATAAATCCCTTGGTGTTCTAACCAGTACAGCACTGAGCCATATGAAGTATTTAACTTACAACATTCGAAGCAATCCAGATTTTACACTTTGTAATTGCCTGTTGTAATTGTGTGACTTGGTGCCATTGCGTTGCCAGACTTACATGTTTATGCAGACATCTGGATATTCATCACCCGAAAATCATTTCTGGGAAGGATTTCTTCATAAATAAGCTGATTAGTTTTTGGGTGGGCATGCAAATGCCATCGGTTTTTGGCCAGAACACTGGTAATGATAAAGTGATATTAATATTGTGGGGTTTGGTGTTCCGGTAAATTATGGAACCTCTCCATTTTTAAGAGACTCAGTTCATTCATCTTAATATTATTCAATCCGTTTGCCAACACCATTGAGTAGATTTTTGATTTGCTTTAGTGCTGCTTATTTGTGTGCAAAAACAAAGAATTGAATATGTTTGTAATTTATAAATTGCATAGAATGTTTGGATGCACTGAAATATATACCTCAAAAAGAGACATATACAATGCCCTCTATTAATATTGGAAACATTGGTATATATGAGCAAAGAAGGTTGTGAAAAACTGTCTTTCTTGTATAGCCTTTTGATCTTTTGTTTCAAAAATACACAAAAATATTCTGCTCTCATGGATATCAAACAATTGCAAACACTACCCAGGTTTATAAAAGTGAATACATCTTTGTTTAAATGTATGTGCGGCACAATTATTGGCATCCCCTATAAATTCATATGAGAAAACTATATTTGAAGTATATTCCCATTGTTATTTTAAATTGTTTAGTACACTTGGGTAAGTAGGAACAGGAAATTGTTCAACAACGACTTCCTGTTTTACAGGGGTATAAATATGAGGTAACACATAAGAGAAATCCCTTTTCCCACTCCTCACCTAATCCCCCAGCACATTATTAAAGGAAAAGGGACAGAATGAATGCCATCCATATAGGGACCGAATTTAATTTTGTCATGCAAATGTGTTTTCAACAAAATTGTTTAACTGGGGTATGTAAGTACTGCGACCCTTACAGCCTAATGGCAGCATAACCCCTACATTGGCATACGGTGGGTATGGTGCTTAGACTGTCCCTGGAGCAACTTTTTAAAAAATATCCCACTGAAGAGCAGCCACATGACCATGTGCATTGCGGCTCGTCTTTATTATAGAAAATGCTAGCAAGAATAGGCAAGACAATAAGGCATCGATGATAATGTTGCAGGAATAGTATCTAATATCTAATGATATCTTGCCAGGATATACAAATGGCAACCATTTCATTCATAAATATATCTTTGAATAAGAAATGAACTTGTTCTTGCAGCTGGTGGGCGTTGTTTCCTTGTACAACAGTTGTGGTTTCTGACTCATTCAGTCGGTTCCAGTTGCAGTCCAGATTTATAGTGTAGCTGCAGTTTTGCTTGATGATTCAGTAAATTGTCAAATTATAAAAACTGGACTTTGCTTAAATATCTAAAAATGACTGTGACTGAAATTTCAGTGTGGGCATTTATCTCATTAGCCTAGATAGCTGGTTTATTATTGTATGCAGACAACACTGAGTTGTAACCTTGCTTCTACAATACTGAATATATTTTTTTGTTTGCACAGATGACCTCTTAAAGTGTCTCTGTGTGCTTATAATAAGTAAAAATAACCTCTGCCTTGACTTTTGTATAACATTAATCTGTGCTGGGTATCAGTGGATTTGTGATGATACAATGCTCTAATGGCAACCAATGGGAGTGTCAGGATTGGCTGAGAAAGCTCAGGACAGACTGGATGCTGGAGATTTGCATCAAAACTCGGGACATTTACACGTGAGAATCTATTGCAGAGAGGTGAAATGGTAGAGCTAAGAATCTAGTATATTCTTATTTTTTTGGCAGTTTTTAAATACATGCATTATGTAAAAACATCAGAATGGATGAGGAATGAAAAGAAAAAGCATGCTTGCACATCGGATGTGCTTTGCTTATGGGTTGCACAGTAATGCGCATTTTAATATGTTGTTTCTGTTTAGCCAGACGTTTGTTTGCAGTTGCTAAACACTGTGAATAGTTTATGCACCGATACGTGAGTCAGATTTTTCAGTGCACAGCCACGTGTGCAAACTTTTTTGAAACCTGACTGTCTGCAGGCTCTGCCCGTGTACACATAATTTGCAGCCAGTTGGATGAGTGTTTGTGTTGATGAACTCCCTTCACGACTTGGAATGTTGTTAGCCAGACTCCCTAAATGAACAATAACAGCTCAATATTTGTTTTCATCTTTATCTAAAAACGTATTGTGACCTCCAGTGCAAATGTGAAATATTTCATAGTGTCTGAAGTGCAAATGAATTGGATGATCTACCATAAACGAAAGAACGGCATATGGATTATATCCAAATAGCAAAAGGTTCAGTAGATAACATAACAAATTACCTAATATGCTTGGATTTCCTTGCCAATTGGGTACTTTAAAATCAGCAAGAGGTAAAATGTACTGTTTATAAAGTTGGAAGTCTGAATTTGTTTTTTTGTTTCCAAATAAACATTCCACATGACTGTAAAGCAGCTTTTCATAACTATCACAAACAACCTGTTTAAAATATGTTTCAGACTTCAGTACCTTAGGCGCATCATACTATTCCTATTATGTACATCATAATTACATGCATTCTAAAAATATAAACACAGTAAGATGCTTGTCTCTCAATGCCATTCTTCCACATATTTGGAACCTATGTTCTGACGTATACTTAAATGAGGAAGTAGTTGTGCTGTGAAACATTTGATGACAAGCACATGGCATTGGTGCCTCTAATGGTTCTTATAGGCCTCAAACATAGCAATCAGTGTCTTTCTAGAGCGGGCATCTAAAGCTCCGCTCTCTCAACCTGATGTTGCTGAACTACAAGCCACATGATTCTCTGTTCTAGAAGGTTATCGTCAATCCTGGTGGCCCAGTTAAATGCTCCTTGTCAAAGCACTATATGTGCCACGACATCATCAGATAGCCTGACATCTTCATTCTAGGTAGGGTATTACATCCATGAGTGGGACATCATTAGTAAGAAGGGGACAACATGAGTGGGTGTGGGGACACAGAGGAACAGAATGGATCTAAATTAGAGCAAATCAAGCTTAAACACAGAGGAAACACAGAGGAAAAGCCTACATAGAGAGAGCTCATGTGGACAGGGGAAAATTGCTTTCAGGTACAGAAATGCCAAATTGTCTCCCCTCCCAAATTTGAGATGTCATTATTTGAGTGGTAAGTTTTGTATTGCATACAATTGTCAAAATTGTGATTTTTTTTTTCTAGTCCTGTCCCCACTCTAGAAGCACCCAAATGCATTGAAAACTTCACATGGAACAGTTAAAAAACAGTCATTTTCTTTATCATGTCACTGTGCAGGATTTAATTACATATATTATCTTGGTAATTTCCACTTAGAGACTGATGTGTGTATTTTAAAACACTTCCCTGCTTTAAAACGCAGCATCATCTCTAGCGTGGAGCTTCAGTTTGAGTTAAACATTACACTAAAATTTATTAGGCTTATATAGCCATCTGTGTGATTTATTTATGCACTTATTGCTGACTTATGTAAAATGAATTTATGGATTTGTACAGATCCAACAGATGTAAGTGAAGCTATATGCGTATTTAAAGGAGGCCAGACTCATTAACTGGTCGGAGAAATTGCTTATCTAGCGAGATACTGGAATTTTGCAGTGAAGGTGTCACATATTCATCCGCTTATAAAAATGTGGTTAATGACATTTACTGTCCACACAGGAAAAGTTGTGCCGAGCAGCAACCTAATCCACAGAAGGGTTAATGCTGAGCAGCAATTATGCAAATGGAACCTGGTAACTGACTTTGGGGTCAAAGGCCGGTTACAGCCTATCAGATCTATAGGAGGGGTATTTAGGCCCAGTTCTCATCCTGCTCAGTGTCCTGTCGTGGTTTCCCTTGTGGTTGTCCAAGAGCGCGTTCCTGTTTACAGTTTTCTACCTGGTTTTTGACTTTGGCTTTGTTTATTGACTTCTCTATATTCTTGTATCCTGACTCCTGGCTTTCCTCATCGCTGCATCCCTTTCTGTGTTCCCTGACCTCGGCTAGTATATTTGACTATTCTATGGATGTTAAATCCGGCCATTCTAAGGACCGGTAATACGTTACTTATTTGTCCTCCGTGCTATACAGTTCAACGTGCTGGATCAAACAGTAATACTGACTGAAGGTTGTGCAATATTTGTTTTTATTCTTAATAAAGTGGGTACGTCAATTCATATCACTAATAATACACCCCACTTAAGACACATTAGGTAGACAGGGCAAGCTCCATAGCAGTCTAGGCTTTTTTCTAAGCTTCTAGTGTAAGCAATTCCCAAATTACTGTTTCCACCCAGCACTTGGTGTTTTATAAATGCAGCAATTTGCAGAACTCTTTGCAGCTTGAAGGCCATCTTCTCATTCACAGATATGGTGTCATAGGAAGAAGCCAATGTTTTTTTTTTGCCAGTTCAAGTACCTATACCATGCTGGGCAACTACATACTATGCATATACCTATCTATTCTAACAGGTTAATTATCAGCTAACAGGCAATGAACTGGAGCCATGGTCATGTTAATAACTCCTTTCAGAAAATGGCAGTATCTGCTATCAGCTTAGTTTCATTTCTCTTAAAGGGAAACTCTAACATCATATGAGCTACAGTACACTTTGGGGTTAATGGTGCCTCTGGGTGCAATCTTATGATTAGAAATCAAAATGTTTTTGGTGCCTCTGGGGGCAATCTTATGATAAGAAATCAAAATGTTTTTAAACAGTTTGACGCTCACCTGGGTCATCAAGGCACCAGTGGTCCTTCTGATCTTCTGTGGTACCAGTTCCCCTTTCCACTTTACCAATAATAGTTTGTTCCTATTTGGGTCTCAATTAATTGGCTTTGAGTGACAGCTGTCACTCAGACAATGAATGATGCCCAAGATGTCTCCATCTCCTGTTTCACAGTGCTTCTGATTTTCTCTCTACTGCATTATGTGGTGGGAACAAGGTGCTCTTTCATATAACAAAGTGTTAATAACACTTTAACACATGTATTTCATGTCATTTGTCATTTGCTGAGGCCTCACTTTAACACGACGCAGTGCGTACACCACCCCTTATTTCATATTATACAGTACTTATGATACTGTCTTTCCCATAATTACATTATACCATTTCTATTGCATAGTATACAGTGCCTACATTATGATTTCATCTAATGCAGTTCTTATGGGACATCCTCTGTTTGATATCATGCAATGTTTATTGCAGATTCTATATTTCATATTATGCAGTGCTTATGGGATGGCACATTCTATTATAAAGCAATGTTTATGGCACATTCTCTATTTATATTATATAGTGCTTGTAATGCTGAGCTTCCTAAGCCATCTAATACTCATAATGATATGACACTGTCTGATTATACAGTTCATGACACTGTTTTTTATATTATACTGTGCTCATGACACACTGTTTCATAGTAACACTGCTGATCTGTACACTTTTCTACTATTTTGTATTGTACCTTGCTTAGGGCACGTTACCGAATAAAGAAAATTACAGTAAGAGGCACACCGGTCAGTATCGAGGGCAATTAATTGTTTAATCAATCAGTTGGTTAATTAAACATATTTCAAGTTCAGATTTTCCAAGGGCTCTTATTTTCGCATCTCCTCTTCCCCCCCCAAAAAATACAACTACATTTTGTTGTCCAACATTCAGTTTTGCAATTATTTGAGTAATCACAACAAAGTTTGCCGGCAGATTTCCAGGTAATGCGTTAAAACATCTAACTGAGTATGTCATCTGGTATTTACTTGGTATGGGTTCTTGGGAATGTAATTGTGGAGCAAGATAATATTGACCACTTTCACATCTGGAATCATTTATAAAGAGAAGTGTAAACCGTAATCTGTTGTAAATTAGCATATATGTTTTTCTATTATTACATAGTTCCTTTATTCTTTCTTTATAAATTGCTAAATTTTCACTCGTAAAAATATGTATTTTTTAATAATAGCAAATTCATATATTGGTGTAAACCATGCCATAACAACTCTGAAATGTCAGTTTATTAATCCAGAAATACAACTTTACAGGAGATAAGGTCTACTTTGAATCTTTCAGTTATCAATTTTTTGTCTACTCTTGCAGCTTGGAATTTCATCAGTTCTTTATCTAAGAACATATGTGGTCAAATAGATTTCCAGGAATACTGTGAGATATAACCCGTTCTGTCTTAAAGATCCAAGTACTCCCAGCTTTCACTGGTGTTGTACACAGAGTGATTTAGAAATAGAAGAATTCTACTGGCCAATTATACTTGTATAGTCTATCTGCTGATTGGAGGTATTGGGGTAGGCAGCTTGACTGTACCTCCCCCATTTAAAAGTTGTTGTTTTTTTTTTACACTTGGCCGTTTCTGGTGATTAATAAGTTTTTTTGCAAATCTTATTTTTAGAAATTGTTTAAAAGTTTAAACATATATGAGCCAATGCTACTGATACTGTCACATTGAGTTATTTTGATGTTTTACGGGTCCTTTAAGTCTAATAAAGATATAAATTTAAGGCATTACTTTATAGAGGATGAAGAACAGGACATTGAGTGCAGTAAAATTAGTATTGGCTTCCTTGTCCTTGTTAAATTATCGGATTCATGCGACAGTGCTTAACAATTAAGTGACATTTTCCAGAAGTCTGACACTGTCCAGAAAGTTTTATTAAACCTGATTAAAATAAACTGAAATGGCAACAAACTGCATTTGGCAAATAGATATAAAAGCAAGCTTTCAGACTTCCTGGACAGGGAGTAACATAGGAAAAATGCCAAACTGTGAATAATAAAGTACACGCCGTCGCGTCCCGCTTGTTTACAGACCATATAAGGGACATGCTCATCTTACTGGAGTAATGTCTCACAACTCTACTGGCTCAGAGTTTGAATGATAGAACATTTTTACAGCAAGCACACCTGAGCCTTCTAATGGTTTAAGTTATTCCGATTGCGGAATTTATATATTTAATCCATCACTGGAGGTGGGTGATAGGACAGTACACTTACCACCTACAAATAGTAAAATGATTCTAAAGAAATAAACTAGTCCCGACAGACTTAAAAGAAGGTTGAACATTTAACTGGTAAAAACTAAAAAAAAACTATATAAATTATCGACTTTAAACTAGTGTACTCATTACTCCCAAATTGTATTTCCTCTGTAGTCCATGAACACAAAAGCCAATTGTACCAATGAAGGATCTGTTATAACGAAAACACATTTTTCTGCTTAGATTATTTAGCTTAGAATGGAGGTGGCAAAAAGGTACATCCCCAGCTGTTAAAGGAGACCTACAGCTCTCATGAAGCTCCTTAAAGGGATACTATAGTGTTAGGAATAGAAATCTGCATTCCTAACACTATAGTTCCCTCTGCAGCTCCCCCTGCCATTAAAGGCTTAAGAACCCTTTATTAGCTTACCCGACTCAAGCACCAATGTTCCTTGACGCTGGGTCGGTGCTCTGCCTCCTCCAACATCATCTGCAAGCTGTAAGCTCATTAGGCCATCTCCATAGGAAAGCATTGGTTCATGATGTTGGATGTTCTGTTAGGTGACCTAGAGTTCGGTAAACTCACGGAAGCCCCTATAGTGGCTGTCTGGTGGGCATTAAAACTGAAATGTTTTACTTTGCAGGACTAAGGGCAATAGGAACACTGTACCCAGACCACATCAATGAGCTGAAGTGGTCTGGGTGCCTATAGTGCCTCTTTAAGACTGGCAAAGCACCATGGAGGTTTACATTTAGACCACCCTTAGCTTTAGAAGTTAATCTTAAAGACGTTAAGCAATTAATTTGTGTAAAAGCTGACTGGGGCACTCTTTTCACATCCTTTTGGGAACACATTTGTACTGCAATACTGAAATCAGGAATAATTGAAGCCTGACATGAAAATATAACTTTCAAAACCAGAAGGCACCAACTATTCAGCATTAGCACATGTCCACAGTTATTGGAAATGTCTGTCTGTCTTCAAACCCTATGTCCCAGTTAATATTTGCCTCCAGCTGTCCATGTTACATGATGCTTTTCATTAGTTTATATGGATGTACTATGAGGCTTTGTGGTTCCTGACTTTGTAAGATTGCAAAAATGTGAAAGTATTGTACACATGCCAGACCTTAGTGTCAGAATGATATATTGATATGGCCTATTAATAGGATCGGCTGTAATGAGGCATAATTTATATATGTTTTTCTTATTATATTATCTTTTAAAATCTAGATTTTGTTTTATAAATTGAAGGGTTACTCCATGCACCATGACCACTTTGGTGATTTGAAGTGGTAAGATTGCCAGGCGTTTTATGTACAGCAATTTATATTTAAAATCAGTATATACAGAGATTAAACCCTTGGCTGCTGGAGGTTTAACTCCACATCTGTCAGTGTCATTAGCCAGCTCAGAGCAAAGTTCCGGACTGGCTATTGTCTATTCTGTGCAAAATTGAATGCTGGCGCCAGACAGCTAATGGCGGCACAGGCCTCCCCTTTCCTCCCCTCAGGAACTTGGAATCAGAGATGAACCAGAGGTAAGTTTTAGTTTTTTTTTGTTTGTTTTGGGGGAAATCAACTTAGAATGAGTTACTCTCGTCAAAACCAGTGATTTATGAAACACTGAATTGTTTTTCATGTGTGTTTTATGAACAGAAGAATTCCTGCAACAGTTACAAAAAAAATAGATGAAGAACTGCTTTGGAGACCTAATGGAAGCTCCATGCATGAGCTTCTGTCTTTGAATTGTGGAAGTGACCAACACCACCAAACAGTTTAAATATTTACATTAGGGGGACTAGGCACTCCTGTCACCACTACGCTGTTCCTTTAAAGTGGAACAGTGACTTAGGTATCTGGCCCCTTTCTTCAGTATGGTGCCCGAGGCTCGCTCCACCCCCAATCTGCTTCCTTGGCTGAGATCATCAGTCTTGATGATTTCAGCCAATCTAATGCTTTTCTATAGGAAAGCATTGGGAGACTATTGTGCATGCGCAGCTAAATGCCACGCTACACCAATCAGCATCTCCTCATAGAGATGCATTGAGTCAATGAATATCTATGAGGGACTTTCAGTGTGCAGCACTGACCAAGGAAAAACCTCTAGTAGCCATCTGAGTGACAGCCACTGGAGGTTTTTCCTAGGCTGTAATGTAAATATTGCCTTTTCTCTGACTATAGTGTCCCTTTAACAAGAACAACCAAGTGTTGCAAATAGAGATGCAACAACCTCCTTTAAAAACTGCTTTCAATGATCTAAATATATATGAGACAGACATAAAACTATGTATGACACAGAAACAATATTCTTTGGAACTCAATAAGAAATAGTACATCTTTATGTCTTGCTGCTTATCCTTTATTTTGACAAGACAAGGCAGGAGGCTGGTCAACAACATTCTATAAAATTAAAATCTAATACATTTTTAAAATGATTTTTTCGCTGGATGCACACTGCTTTCTAAAAAATTTATGTCAGAGAGACTTTATAGAATGATACAAAATTATAAGAAGTCTAGTGAGACGCTCTTTTAAAGAAGCAAAGATATTATATACTATTGTTGATAAATGGTCATTTATAAAAATAGCGTGTTGATCTTGGGAGAATTCAGACTGATGCATTCGGTTCCCCATCAACATGACGCTGGAGGAGGGGCAGATGGAGCCAGCGCCGCAGGACCTCGGCACTGAAATGAGGTAAGTAAAAACAAAATTGATTTTTAAACACTTTATAAACGGGGTGGGTGGACCTTTAGTCATTGTCAGGGGACGCTACAGCATTAGGAATACAGTTTACATTTACGTTATAATGGTAGAGATTCAGAGAAAGTGTTTGAGGTGAGATAAACGTATCCTGCATTCTCTTTTTTTTTTTTTTTTGAGACATTTTGTGTTGTCTGTCTAGTTTTTCATTGACTTTGTTTGAGCCTGTGGAGTGTAGAACGCCTGGCGTAATTGCCTGGTTTTTACAATGGGTGACAGTAATTGTGTAATAAGACCTTCCTAAAAAGAATTTCATCCAGTTCTACATTCTGCTTTCTTGGCACAGAACGTTCAGGGGCCCTAAAAGGGGGAATGAAACTCATTGCAGTTCTTGTATTTAGATGGTAATAACATCTTCCTATACATTTTGTCATGGAGCAATGCACCAGAGGCCATTCCACCACTGACAGTCTTGATGAAGAAGAACTTGGTTTGCTATCAGTTATCTAAATGTCTTCCTGTACTTAGAAAAACTCTCATAAGCACATATAGATCGGGGTCTCTTATCCCAAAAGTATTGTGCAGAGGATTTCGAATGTGAACTTAGTGTCACGTCAGAGTCTAGAGGTTTAAAAAAGAATTAAGGTTTTACACTGAACTGATGAAAGAGTTTATGAATATTCGAAGACGTGTTTTACTTGCAAATATCAGTATGTACTTATGTTTGTCTTAAGAAGCCATACGGGTAACCTTTATATGCTAGACCTTCTGGGAAGTGTGTATATCTCTAGTGCTATTAATGCACAGCTTTTGGTTAAATATATGGTAACAAAAAATGTTTTAATTGTAACATATGGCTTAAATAAATATTAGCATGTGTTTTTTTATGAGTCTGATGTTCTTATTTTGCATTTGTTGCTCATTATGCCTTCCCCATGGGAAAGCACTGACTCTTTGCTTTCCTATGGCAATTAAAAAGATGCTAGATGTCCTCATGCAAATCACCATTTCACAGAGTTAAACTCAGTCAACCATCAGTAAGCACCTCTAGTGGCTGTCTGGTAGACAGTTTCTCTAGAATTGCAATGTTCTCAGCTGCAGGATTTAAGTGAAAGGGTCAGTGCCCCTTGACCACTTCAATGAAAAGTGGACTAGGTGCCTGTAGTGTCACTTTAAGCTAGGGGTGCCTAGAAGGCAGATGCCCATGTAGAACCTTTCTGTCTCAAAGGGACATTCCACTGTCCAAATAATAAAAAAAAAACAACAAGAAACACTGTTTAGAAGATATAGCCCAAATGAAAAAACATGGAATTAATTTAGCATTTTTTTTTATTGGGATAGATCTTTTGTCTGCTGCCTTTGCAAGTTATCCCCTTCATCCCCAGCCCAGACTTTCTGTGTCGGTCCAATCACAGACTTCCCAATGCAGCTCGATGCAAGGCAGGTGCTCTGGGCAATTGGCTGCCTCTTAAGTTTAGCTCCACTGTGTCAACCAAACCAGGAAGTAACAGGACCAGCTGTCTGATTGACAGGGGGGTGTAACAATGTTAATTTATAAAAATGCTAATTTATATTGAAATATTTTTGTAATCTGAAAAAGGCACACATAAAGCACTTAAGCAAGCTGAAGTATTTTAAAAGTCTGGAGTGTCCCTTTAAGCCATAATAGCTTTAAAGCGGCACTGTCATGCCGAACTTACCTTTCCTCAATCTCTTCCTCTTCTCCCCCTCTCTCAGGATCTGTTATTCTTTTCTTCCTGTCTTCTTTAGTTTTCTTTAAAATCATAAGACAAAGTAGGGACTCTTTGCCTTATGGAGGATTCCTCCGCTTGACCAGCTCTGACCAGCGGAGGAGCAAAGTGTGCTTCATTTCCGCTGGTCAGAGCAATTTTCCCATGATCCCTAGCTTTCCTCAGTGATCCCACAATGCTTCCTGTCACTTTACACAAAACTGCCGAATTGCGTTCTAACTGAATGAGAACAGTCTGTTCGTTTCTTTTAGAACGCAATTCGGCACTTTATTCGGATCGGAATTTCATTCTAATGAATGAAACTCTGATCCTATTCATTGCTGTGGCTGCATCTTGCAGCCGCTTAGTAGATAACTCCCTAATTCCCACGGTATCAGGGAGCTATCTACTAAAAGGCTGAAAGACCTAAATTGGTCTAACAGCCAACTTTACTAATACTAAGTAAAGATTACTTAGTATTAGTAACTTAAATGCCCCTACTCGCTATACCGCGAGTAGGGGCATGTGTAGTAAGCAGTGAGCAGCGTATAGCTGCTCACTGTAAAAAAACAAACAAAAAACTAATAACCCCCCCACCCCACTCCCCCCATGCCCGTGGGGGCCCTAAATAAAGATGGGGGGGAACCTGGCCCCTGGCCCCCACCCCTGCGCGGTGGGTGGGGGCCCTAATAAAACAATAAGGGGGGGTGGACCTACTGTCCTCCCCCCCCTGGCCCCCACCCCTGAGCGGTGGGTGGGGGCCCCAATAAAACAATAGGGGGGGACCTACTGTCCTCCCCTGAGCGGTGGGTGGGGGCCCTAATAAAACAATAAGGGGGGGGGATCTACTGTCCTCCCCCCCGGCCCCCTAAAACAATAAGGGG